ACTTGCAACCTTCAGCGAGTTATCTAACCTTTCTGTACTCTTCTTCCTTCACCTACAAATGAGAATAACAGAGTAACACTCTTACCATGTTAGAATGACTAATAAAAAGCACTTTATGGTATTTGGCACAAAACACACTGAAGTAACTAAGTTAATTTATGATTATTATGACTGTGCCCAAAAATGCTCTGTAATTGTACGATGTTTTAGTTCATGTTCTTCTGCTCTCCTAAATAACCTTTTGTTCCTCTCTAAATTTCTGACATCCTCTTTTTCACCCCCTTCAGTTCATGATCAAGAAAAACTGAAGCATTCAGGTACTCCACTTACCCTCTCCCAATACCTACTTAAGACTGTCTCAAACAACAAAAAAAAAAAATACACTGACAAAACACACAAAGAAAAGATTCGAGACGCAAATAATCCGTTTAATCTAATCAATATATAAATAATACTGTGCCCGATCTATGAAGAAAACATGGTTTTTTAGGAAGTGCAGAACACTTATCATCACTGCCCAAACACTCAGCTCTAAAGCAAGTTTCACAAATCTGCAAGGATTTAAATCATAGACCTATGTACTCAAAGCAGACGGGAAGTAAACTAGATAGGAGTAACAAAAGATACCTGAAATTTCTACACCTGGAAATGAGGGAGTACACTTCTAGATAGTCCATGGGCCCAGTAAGACATACATTTATTCATAAACACATAAATATACTTGATAGAAAATAAAATATGTAAAGGCTGAGAAAGAATAACACATTTCAAGACAATATGATTATACATGTAGAAAATAAAAAAATTAGGTTAGTAGGTGTAATAACATAGAAAATCAATTTCTATGTATCTAAAGAAAATAATTTTTGAAGATATAATTTACAACTGCATCAAAAATATATGACTATAAATAAACTGACAAAATTTGTGTAAGATCCTCACCCAGAAAAGTATAAAACACTAGCAGAAAATATGACTAAAATTTACTGAAGATCAAAGTTAATTCTAAATTTTCCAGTTTAAATTCTAGCAGTAAATTTTTGAGAAGTTGGCCTGTGATACTAAAATCTTAAAGAATCGAAGACTAATAGTCAAACCATCTCAGAGAAAGCTAAGGAAGGAGGCTTCATTCACCAAATACCAACACTTACTCAGAGCCTCAGAAATTGAGAATATACAGGCATGCAGTGCTGAGGCACACCTGCAGCCCGAGCGGTATGGGAGGCGGGAGCCGGAGGGTCTCAGATTAAAATGCACCAGCGCACATGTGCACACTTAATTTATAACAGAAATGACACTAAAGAACACTGGGGGAAAGGACTGTTTTTTTATGTTTCTTTGTTTGTTTTTTTTTTTTGGTACCAGGGATCAAACTTGTGACCTCATGCTTGCCAGGCAGGCGCTTATGCCGCTGAGCTAAATCCCTGGCCAAGGACTTTTATTTAAATTAACAGTGTTAGATCAACTGGACATTCATATGGGACAAAATGAAATTACATTCCTAACAGATACTATATACACAAAGTTTATCACAAGTAGATTACCGATCTAACATAAAGAGTAGAACTATTTAATGTAAGACGTAGGATAGTATCTGTACACCCTAAATGTAAGGAACAATTTCTTGAACAAGAAAATATCCATAAGAGAAATGACTGATAAACTGAACAATGTTAGTAATACCAACAATCTATTCATCAAAAGACCATTAAGAATATAAAAGGGGATAGAGTTGTCCAAAAAATTTGGCATAATATAAACCGTGAATGAAAGAGCTCATTTACAGGAAATATAAAACACCAAAAAAAATATAAGCGAATTCAACAATAGAGACAAGAAATTCAAAAGATGCTAGAGGGTACAGCTCAGTGATAGAGCACTTGCCTAGATACTCAAGGCTCTCTGGGTTGGAGCCCCAGCCAAAGAGGGGAAAAAAAAACAGTTCTAAAGGTACATGACAATAGAATATACAGATGGCAAACAAACTTAGGAAAAGGGGAGCTGGGTGTAGGGGTGCACTCCTGTAATCCCAGAACTTAGGAGGCTGAGGCAGGAGGATTTTTGCAAGTTTGAGACCAGCCTGGGCTACAAAGTGTGCTCAAGGCCAGCCTGAATTGCACAGTGAGATTCTATCTCAAAAAGACAAAAAAAAGAAACAAAAAAGGAATGCAACCTTATAATAATCAGAGAAATGCAAGTTTTCATTATAATAGTATATAATTACATTATACACTATTATAATAACTATAATTATTATAGTTATTATATATTTATAATTATATTATATAATTATAATAATTATAACAACATTATAATAGTGTTACTACACACTGACCAGAGCAACCAAAATCAAAAGGCCACTGTTGGTAACAGTGTTTGCTGATAACAACTCTTAGGAATACTGTTTAATACAGTGTGCTGAAATTTAACCAATATGCACATCCTGCAACTCAACAATTCCTATCCTAAATATATGTTCAATTAAATTCACCCAACAAAAACAATGTTTTATTTACAGTGATCCGAAACTGGAATATACATATTATGTGCGAATACAAATGAACTGGTATATATGCACTCAAAAAATATATGCCAAGAAAAACAAATTACACACACAGGAAAGAATGTGGAGAATCTCAAGATTACAATTTCAAATCAAAGAAGCCAAACAAAAAATATCCATACAATTTCACTGATATGTTCAAAAACAGACCAAAGCAACTTAGAACATGAAGGGTGAAGAGTGGCTGACTACCTTTGGACAAGACAGTACTTGGAAGTAGGGTTAGTTAACAAGGAATGCAGGCCTGGTTACGTAATACTGCTCAATCTGGGCGGTGGCTGGGCGGTTTGCACTGGGATTACCCATGAAGCTGACTATATTTATGTATTTTTTGGTATGTATGTTAGGATCTTGAATAAAAGCTGTCTTTAAAACAGTATTACTTTACCAAATTAAAATGATTATAGCAGTGTCTCGGTATTAATCCTCTCATACTGGGAAATAATATACAATAGTGAATTTCAAAGTCCCTTAAAAAGGCTCCATTGTTATTCACAGACAGGTGTTCATTATGGGCTTATACTAGTCATACGGTAGCCACTAGTCACATGTAGCTTTAAATCTTAATTTACAGTAATTAAATTTCAATAAAATTAAAAATTCCATTTCCCAAGTGGCACTAAGCATGACTTAAGCACTGACCAGCCTCCAGGGCCTAGGGGCACTGTACGGGGCAGTGCAGATACAGAACTTTCCATCACTGCGGGAGGTGTACTGGACAGAGCTGTCACACAAAAGATCTATTTCAGTATTATACTCACGCCACTCAATTAAATTTACTTTTGAAAACCAGTATCCTGACATAAAATGTTTCAATGAAAAATATTAAGATGAGACAAGCGATAGCACTACAACATGGCTCTCTAAAGTGTATTTAGATCTAAAAATACTCAGTTAATACTTTCAACCTTTGCAGCTGGGAGAGCTACTAACCCACTGTCTTTGGATTTAAATTTATGACAACAATCTCCACATTATGCATCCCATCCCGAGCTATAGTTAGAAGCAGTTATCTACAAGATGAGGAATTACTTCCTGAATAGAAGAGCGCTTCAACTTCATTTCACAAAGCAAAGACAATGAGTCAGCACACAGCACTCTTAGGAAGTCTGCCCTAGCAAAGGAAGTGCATAGCAAGTGAACCTACTTTCTCACCGGTCTCTTTCATCTATCATATTGTAATTCTAAATATGAAAGTATCTTCATGTTTTTCTTATGGTGAAGCACTCTGGTACATTTTTGCTGCACTTTAATATTTATAATAATTTTATAAAACACCAATTATCTCCAGACATATTTCTGTTAAAATTTTAATCACTGGGTGATATAAGAATAGTACAATATTGTAAATAAAAAATTTAATTAATTTTGTAAGACAAAAAAATGAAAGTTGATCTGAGAAGTAATTACACACTTGTTCAAACTGAAAAAAATCAAGTTATATGCTTGATACTTGTGCCTTCCCACAGGTGTGTTATATCCAATAAAAGTGGTACGTTAGTTTTCAATTTTCTAACGATTCACAGAAAACTATGAAACTGGTATAGAAAGGTCCTGCATACTCTTTACCCTGTTTCCACTGTATAGTATGATGTTTTATAACTACAGTGTAATATAACCAAGAGGAAACTGACCACAGCTCAATACATGTGTATACTTCTATGCCATCTTATCACTTGTCAATTTATGAAACCATCATTTTCAAGGTTGGGAACTAGTTATCTACATGTATGTTTCTGTTTGTTCCTGTGTTTTTTTATAGTTATGGTTCCAACTAAAGTCAAAAGAGAGTGAATGATATAATCATACAGAAGTGACAAAAGAATTTAAATACCTATGTTTATGGGTATATATCTGTGCACATCTGTGTATACATACATATGCATATATATGTAAACTAAAATATATAAAACTAAATTCTGAGAAGGATATGCTGTGATGATTAAAGGAACTTTTCACTTATCTAGTTGTATCTCTGCATCATTCAGATTTTTCTAAAACAAGTATGTATTATTTTTATAAACAACAGAAACAATACAGACATTCCATTTGGAAGGATAAACAGCTTTCTGTTATGTGAACAGTTATCTCCTATTATCCTGTTTAAAAATCTGTCATTGTTTCCTAAAACATATTATGATTTTTCTTAAGAGAACACATAGAAGCTGGGCATGGGGAGCACATCCATAATCCCAGCCCTCGGGGATCTGAGGCAGAAAGACAGTGAGTTCGAGGACAGCCTGGGCTACCTAGTGAACTCAAATACCACCTCAACTACACAGCAAGACCCTGACTCAAAAACCAAAACAAATATACAGACAGACAGACAGGAACTTGGATGAAAACATTAAAAAAAGAGAGAAAGAACACACAGACTTCTTCTATTTCCATGTAACATACATGAGCTGCTTTCAAACATTAACGCTAACCATGGTACCTGGCGGAGGAATCATCGCCCTGCGGTCCTGTTCCCACGGAGGTGACAGAGATCCAGTGTCTGAAGGTGCTCTGTGAGGATCAGTTAACCTATCGTAGCTCAAGTCTCCTCTTTCATTGCTACTCTGATGGTCCAGAGGATTTTCTAAGCCTCTTGAGCCTAAAGGGGGGAAAAACATACAAATCTATTTAATCTTAAAAAGTGTAAGACCTAACCACAAATAAAATCAAGGTACTCTTTAAAAAGCAAATATAGATTCTAACAAAGTTTGTCTAAGAATATACAGACTACCCTAACAAAGCCATTCTAGGATAAGAGAAAAATTTTGTCACATGCATAAACAAATACTTCCCCTACAATATTCATTTTTAAATGCTATCATCCCCATCATTTTATACTTAAATCACAAATATTAAGTCTGAAAAATAAGGGTATAGAAAGTAAATTTAAAATAAAGATACTTGTACTAGATATAATAAGATAATTACAAAATTAGGTTTTTGTTGCTTAAACTCATGTCAACAGTTGAAATGAGTCTCATTCTTTTCAGTCATTGTAGGGGCTACATACTAGTTTAATAACTGCTATTATTCAATCTATTTTTTTTAGAACAACTGGTTTGGAAATGTAACTTACTCAAATTATCTTAAAAGACATGTCAAAAACTGCATCTCAATGTTATATAACATGGCTCTCCTGTTCTGGCCCAAAATTATTTTAATGAACTTAATTAAAACATTTACACTCCACAAATAAAACTAGCTCTAAATGGCTTTTAAGTAATTTCTAAACATGACATTCACATTCACATTTAAAAAAAAGAGTACTCAAAACAAGCTCTGAAGGCAAATCTAAAATTTCAAAAACAACAGGACTGTTGAAATAAACCTTTAAAGTTAACATTCATTTGGGTCAGAAAACCTGGCCTAACACTTACAAAGGGGGAATCATTTCAGAGCTCCCACCCTCGGCCTGGCATGCACCTCGGTAACAGCGTGATTCCCTAACAGACGCCAGGCCCTGCTCAAACATACATCTCATGTAAACTTTCAAGTTTAAAAAGATGATAAAAAGGAAGGAAAAAAAACACCGCATCCTTCTTTGGTAGGTTACAGAAATTCAGTCCAAAGCAACTTTCAAGGCTGCTGATAACTTATCAAGAATTTCTGTAGCTTTTTAAAATACCTTTACAAGTAATCTAAACACACTGTTTCCTTAAAGTAATTAAATAGGAAAGTAACTGAAATAGGAGAGGAGAAAGCAAAGGTAGTTTTTACTCTTATTTCAAATAATCAATTGATTACAAGCAATCCTTGACTTATTAACTGAACTTGCAGGGACTCACATATGCAGTTCAACCAATTAGATCCTACGCAGGCTGCTTTTTCAGGCTGTACATGGTGCGGTATGTGAAACAGTAAATCAATATTCTCTTTCAAAGAAATAGAGTAAGACCGAAAATATTGCATATCATCCAAACTAGAATGGTAAGCACTACTTCATGTGATGTTTTAATTACTATGTATCTCCCATGGTGAATGTAATTGGTATGTACTGCAAACATGTCATAACAAAAATAAAAATGAAAAAATTATATAATGTTGGTTCACAATATGCCTGGATATAGATTTCTTACTACAAGTCAAAGTGAGACACATGCAGGGGAGGAGCATCTGCTCCTGCAGCACTGCACCCTGCACTGGCACAGCAGGCACGGGAAGTTCAAGCTCCGTCCCCTTCAGTCCCCTTCCTCAAGTGCCCAGGGCAACCGGGCTCCCCCTTATGCCCTGGCGACAGCACAGACTGCAGGGCTCCCAGTTCAAACCACACAAGCCAAGCGAAGGCTCTGTCTGAAATGAGGGCAGGCTTGGGCCCAGCCAGCAGAGAACTGAAGTGGGGAGGGACCAGCTCTACGTGGAATAAACCAAGGACAGAAGATGTAAGCAGGGAAAGGAGAAAGGGGCACTGCTCCGTGACCATAAGGTAGCACAGTGACTTCCTCAAATCCTTTGAAGGCAGCTCCAAAGGAAGAGTCCCGAATATATTTAAAAGTAATGGCAGCTTCACAGAGGAAGTACAGAGTCCCTCCTCTAATGGCACACACCTGCAATGCCAGCACTCTGAGAAGCTGAGGCGGGAGGACTGCCAAGTTTGATCACAGCCTGGGCACCTTAGCAACTGTGGGAACCCCTGTCTCGAAATAAAAATTTTTAAAAAGATTAGAGACATAGCTCATTGTGAAGGTTCTGCATTCAGTTCCTTGTACCAAATTAATTTGAGTATATGAGCTTTGTTGAGCTTCATCTGATGTTTTCATATGAAGTTCTGTAGTTCTCTGTAGTTCATGCTCATAGCTCAGTTTTAGTCTGTTAAAATCACCGACAAAAAGGGCGGGAATCCTTCACTAGCAAAGAATACTATCAGTTATCATAAAACACAGATCTGAGGCTAACAACCCAGAACTTTTGGTTTTGGAATAGAACTTTTTATTTTTTTAACGTGGCCACAAATCCAGAAAAATCTTTAAAGCAATTTGACAAAGTGAAGAAACTTAGGTCAGAGAATGAAAGAGAAAATCTCAAGGCAAACAAGTTTTCAAAGCCACCAGAGCCTTTGTGACACCAGGGTGGCAATGAGGAAGCAAATGCAGAAAGATCAAGCATTGTGCTTGAGCCTGCCGCAGCCACAGAAACTCTCAAAAACAGGTAGGGGACAGGGCGCACAACCTGTGTCCTCAGGGTTAGCAAGCGATTTGGTTCTCCTAAAGATTTCCACAAAGCTCTGCCTACAAGGGTACCACAAACCCCTTCACTCAAAAAACAAAGCAGATTCTTTTACTTCCTGATTTTCAAATATAAAAGGTAATGGTAATGAAGTTTTAATTTTTTTAATTCTATATTGTAATGTTTTATCAAAACAAAATTTGAAAGCCGGGCATGGTAGATCATGCATGTAATCTCAGCACTCAGGAGGCTGAGGTGGGAGAATCGTTGTGAGTTCGAGACCAGGCTGGGCTACAAAGTAAGCTCAAGGCCAGCCTGAACTGCATAGTGAGACACAATCTCAAAAAAAAAAAAAAAAAAAAAAAGAAAGAAGAAAAAATCCAGGGGCCACAGATTTAGCTCAGTGGCACCAGCACCTGCCTGGCAAATGTGAGGTCGAGTTCAATCTCCAGTACCACCACCAACAACAAAAAATTCAATGCTAGATTAAACTGTTATTCCATTTTATGTATTATTTTAAAATTTTATTTTATGTAATGTATATTGCTCTTGCTTTTTATTACTTTTTAAAAATAAGCTATGAGTCAGGAGTGGTGGCTCATGCCTGTAATCACAGCACTCAGAAGGCTGAGGCAGGAGGGTTGCTGTGAGCCAATCTGAGCTAAACAAGAAAGTTCAAGGCCAGCCTCCATTACATAGAGAGACTCTGTCTCAAAAATAAAAAAGTAAAAATAAAAATAAAAGTAAGATATGCATATGAAATCCTTTATCAAAATGTTATCTACTAAGACTGAATATCCTTTATCAGAAATGGTTAAGATCAGAGAAGAATTTCCAATTTTGAAATTTTCTGGATATTAAAATATCTGTGGAATTTAGTAGCTAAGACTCTCAAATATGAAAATACGAAATACAAAATGCTCCAACTTTTTGAGTCCTATGCCCAAAAAGCTGAGGATCTCAGAGCACTTTGGATTTCAGATTTTCAGAGTTTGAATGCTCAACTTAGGTAAGGCTGATTCCCAGGGAACAAAGTATTAAAATCAGGTGTTGTACAGCCCCTTTCCAAAAACAAGTGCCTACAATAAGTGCAAGGAATGCCTGCATTTTCCAAGTGATTATTTTACAAATTATTTTATGGGTAAGTCAAGATGAAAAATATGAAGGAAGGAAGAAATTTAGAGTAAAAAGAATGTTTAAACAATATACCTCTTCCTCCTCCCCCTGGAAGCAAAGGGGAGAGCCTGAGTGGACCCTCCAACAAGGTTGGCGGGGAGAGAAAAGCTCTCGTTTCAGATGAAGGCCGGCCCAGTGGTGAGGGGCCGTATGAGGAATGCTCTGGAATAATTAAAACAGCATGTTTAATTCATGGTTTCAGTCAGCTACACTGTAAAGACAGAACCTCATTTTAGCAGTTACCATCAGGCCACTCTAGTGCCAGCTTTAGTTTAATCCAAGTGTAAACGTCAGCTATACCTCTGGTTTTGCTAACAAAGGACTGAATTAAATAGGGAATCTGGTGTTTTTAAAGTCTATGAAAAAGGCATTTAATACAAACATTACCCTAAGACTTAAACAGGTTAAACAAAGGACTCGGGAGTGAGAAATACACTTTATTGCTAACGGCAGTGTGGTTCCAGGTGTTCCAGCTGACCAGGGCTATAACACAGCAGTGACCCTTTAGGTCAGGACCACATATGCTATGTTTGGGCCATGAAATGTCTGAGCAAAACTCAGATTCTGAAAGTAGAAAATGCATAAAACACTCCGAAGCGTCAGAAACTACATTTGACACCATAGCAGTAAGAAACCAGTTTACATATACTAGCTTACCAGAAAAATCACTTTCTCTGTAATTCATAAAACCAAAAGCCCTGATAGTTTACAAACTTAACCACGCCCAAAATAATACCTATGCTTCAAAGGTCAAAAATCAACAACCAAAACCAAACCTAAAATATCACTAAAGAAACATTTTTACAAATGGTAAATCAGCTGTTATACAACAAAAGATAGCAGCATTATTTACCTTCCCTGAGGCTTCTGCCTTGATTTAGAGAAAAATTCCTTCTGTGTACTACCCTCCTATCCAAACTATTCTACGTGAAATTCATAATAATCTGATATTTTTTAAATGTAAAAGTAGACTTTTATTTTAAGGAAAGTTGACTCTCAGGTAATTTTTATAACTTTCCAAAGGTTATTAAAATGAAATTCTCTTCATAACAAGCATAGGTTTATGTTCACTGCTGCAAGAATTCAGTTCCAATTCAATCAAAACTATTCTTAAACATTTAAACTGGGGCCTGGTGTCTAGCTCAGTGGCGTCAAGTGCCTACTTGGCAAATGCAAGGTTGTGAGTTCGATCCCCCGCACCCCCCAAAAAAAAATTTAAACTGTATGGAATAGTTTGAGATCATTGACAATGAGTAAAAGGTCCGAAATATTAAATACACTTTACAAAGCATTGGTTCCCCATAGCAGTAATTAAATCAAAACTCAGATTATTGTTTTCCCTATTTTTTAAATTAAACAAATACTTTATAACTATTTTAATTCCCACTTTTATAATTCAAGCAAATTTAAAAGCATAGTTAAACGTAAATGTAAATAGTCACACTACCATGCCATTTAAATGTTTATTCATTCTCCCCTCAAATAATGAGTACCTTACTAAGTGCCAACCACTTGACCTTTCAAGGAGAGCATAGTACTAGAAACCTATTATCTTACAAAATCCCACTGAGCAAACAAAATAGTAATCACTTATTTTTATTGTCAAGGAAACAAATCCTAGACACTTGGAACTTTTGAATGCTCAGAACAGAATCCCAGCTCAAAACCTAAATTACATATAAAGAATAGTGTTAAATTATACTAATATAAACTTTATTACAATATATAAATATAATATGTATTTTAAACTAGGTGTTAAAAAAAGACTACCTCTGCCAAATGCTGTGTTTGGAACATCAAGTGCACAAGGATCCTTTTCTAAAAGTTCAAATTTAAACTCTGCTTCAGTTAATCTGCAAATAGAGAACAAACATCACCAAGTTATTTATCCAAGAGGAGCACCCACATTTCAAGAAAAATGCCACTGCAGGTTAGCTGCTCCGCGCTAAGTACTGACACACAGAAATAGAGCTCCATTCTGACCGAGTGATCTGGCTACATCACCCATTACTTATTCTGGGTACTAGTCCCTTGTTGTTTATGGATAGTGATGTTTTGTTGAGATCTGGGGCTGTTTCATGCTTTCTTTGAAAGTAAACTACAATATAAAAAGTTAGTACTATCTCACAGAATCCAAATTTTTGAAACGGAACAGCCAGGTGAACCAGCCCAAATCCATCATTTTATAACTAAGAAAACTAAGGCTAGGAGTTTAAATGACTAATTATAAATGAAAACAGCAGGATTAAAACATAGCACCCCTGAGGTTATATGCATTCCCTTATAATGTAACCCACACGATTCCAATCACAACATCAGGCTGGAAATTCCATTAATTCATCTGTTTTACTCATAAACTTTCTGTTTTAACTACAAAGTTTCAAGTGAATCATATCCTAGTTCTTGACCATCAGACCTGAAATAAAACATTTAATCATTTTATTTTAAATTTCTGACAAAGACACGGGAGAGCACTAAAACCAATATTCAATAATATTGATCATACAGTCTGGCGAAAAAACAGCCACCCGCCAGAGCCTGTTGTGACCCACACCGAAGAGCACGCGGGCGGCCCTTTTACTGTACGCTTCCCCGCCTCCATTTTATTACTGTCCAGCAGGGCACCCACACAACAAAGCCAGGGCATGAGAGGTAAGAAACATCTGTTCTATTTAGCCATTAAAAAATGCTGACACTCTAAACATTTGTATCATAAAGATTCCTCCTTTTTACTTCCTATCCTTTTTACCTCTCTGTACCTCTACTGGCTTAAATTTTTTTAATTATACTTTTTACAGAAGAATTGGTGAAAAAGTTTCCTTCAAGTTCTGTTTCAGTGGCCTTTCCAGGACAAGTATTTCAAATAAAAAACTATTTGTACCTAGTAAAGTTGTTTCACAATCAGATATGCTAGTACACTCCAAGTTTATTTATTCATCCTTTAAAAGTTTTACACAATTCATAAAAGCAGTGACTAATTTGAAGGTTTATAGTGCTCCTTGTAAGTTACTTACTTTTGTCTGCTGTAAGCATTTTCTTTTCTTAACTCATTGAGGTTTCTTTCAGCAGTTCGGGCTGCCAACTTAAAGAAAATAACATCTTTTAAAAACTATTTTATACAAACTGAAAGTGAGAGACCAGCATAAATGTCACAGTGAAGGTATCACAATGATGGCACAAAAACAGCACACTCACCTAAGTACACATCCATCTCGTAACCCAATGTAAAACACTTTAAATTTAGGAAAATATTTAAACAGGAATGAATGTCATGTAAGCAGAGATACGAGCCTGAGACTACAGACAATCAGGTGTCTGGTGACATGGCTGTGAAGTCATGGGTTAGCGCATTTGGTGACACAGAGACCCAGGTGACAGGGTAGGCGCACATGTGCTCAGGGCGACAGCCACAGCAACTCAGCGCCACAGTACAGCAGCCCCACTATGGGACACTGTGGTCATGAACAAAGGGAAGTCATGTGACTCCATGGCCCCATGGGTCTGGAGTAATTTCACAGCGTGCCTGTACAGGTCATTTTTTAAATGGCTGAATACAATCAATGCTGCACTGTTACGTACACAGATTTATACAGATGATATTCCTCTAAGTATTTTACACTTGTTTAATCATACTTTTATTTAATAAAAAATTAAAATCACTCAAGAGGCTGAGGCAGGAGGATCGTGGCAAGTTCTCAGTTATTAATTTTTTATTTTTTGATTTTTATTTTTTAAATTTTGGTTCTGGAGATGACCTCATGCTTACCAGGCAGGCGTTTATGCCACTGAGCTAAATCCTTGGCCTTTGATCATTGCAACTTCAAGACCAGCCTGGGCTACAAAGTGAACTCAAGGCCAGCCTGAACTCCACAATGAGACTCTTGTCTCAAAAAGAAAAAAAAAAAAAATTAACATCAGAATACAGACAGGCATATGCCTGCAGTCTCGGCACTTGGGGGCTGAGGCAGTACTGCCACAAGTTCAAAACCAGCCTGGGCTACATAGCAAAACCCTATCTCAAAAAAATATATGTATTTTTTAAATGAGTATACACATTATAGAAAACAAAGCTTATGTTTATAGTAGCAACCAAGAACATGTGATATTCCTAGCAGTTGCGGGGAAAGGCTACACTTGCACAGTATTCTGGACCACGTATTCCCAGTCGTTCTGCAGACTCTGGGTATACCATGCAGCAATGCGGAGCACATTAGCCTGGCTAACCTAACACAACCCACGGGGCTTACAAGCCGCGATCAAAAATTACAATGAATGTTTACATAAAAACCTATAAACTTCATTACAGTAAAAGTCAAACTGTCACTAATCCCTCTCAAACTATGCCCCCTTTTTTTCCACATCCAAAGGTTTACTTGACAAAAATACAAGTGATACTATCACAGTAAAGCGAAGACTCCAGTTAGTGAAATCTAAAGCTTCTGTATTGTTTTGAATACTCTTATCCACACATCATGTTCGTCACTTTCTGAAGCAATTCTGGAAGTCCTCTTTTTTAACTGTCTTTTTGAAGCTGCCTGGATGTCCTGAATTGATTCAAAATGTTTACCGCAATTTTGGCCTAATAAAAATATTACAATGTCTCCTTATCCACCTGATTCACTGCCTCTGGCACCATGCAACTTCTTTGTGGAAGTCAAAACAATCATGAAAAGCAAGCATTTTGAATTAGTTCAGGACATTAAGACAGTCAGGACAGCACAACTAAAGACACTTCTCGAGAAAAGACTTACAGAATTGCTCAGAAAGTGGCAAGAATGATGAGATGAGTGTATTCAGAGTGAGCAGAAATCTTCTGAGAGCATCAGTGGTAATGTGTCCTTTTTAAATTTAACATTAACCATGTCTGATCATACCTAACAGCATAAAAAGGTAGGCAATTTAGACTGGAACCACCCCTTTACAAGTGAAAGGAACTACTATTCTGTCAGATTTGCTTTCACTTAAAATTGTGAACTATACTTTAGAAATGACTTTAACTGGCCAAAAAATACATTAGGTAAACATCTGCAAGAAGCACAGCTTAAGTTATTTGAGCACTCACTATCAAAAGAAAGATTCTAAGTGTAAATCTTTTTCTAATATGTAATGATATAATCAATTTTATACTAACAAAAAGTTTACACTAATAAAATTTTAGTAAAATATTCTTTTAAGTGTTAACAATGCAGAATCAAAATTACTTCTGAATGGTTTCCACACAGCATAACACATTAACTCTTAGACACAAAACTCATAATAAGCCAGCAATATTAAAGATATATCACAGAAATATGTATAAAAATAAGTTGATGGTAAGTGATTGCAGATTTTTAAATAGCTTACAAAGGTTAAACAAAACTGCAATTTCAGTGACTGACTGCTTTGCACTCTAAAATACTATTATTTAAATAGTGACTACTTATACAAACTATTGTTAGGTACAGTTACTAAGCAAAAAGAAACAGTTCCTGTCTTATGAAATTTAAAGTCTAAATACAAATGACTACAGTAAAGAACAGAATACTGCCACAGGACATATAAAACAGTACAACATCAGCCCAAAAAGTGAGGATTAAATTTAATACAATTAAGCAAATAAATGTTTAATGAAGAAATACCTAAAATCATAATCATAAAAAAGTAGATACAAAACTAAAGGTTCAAATTGGGCATGGTGGCACATGCCTACAACTCAGCATTCAGAAGGCTGAAGCAGGAAGATCATTGTAAGTTTAAGGCTAGCTTGGGCTACAAAAGCAAGTGTAAGGCCAGCCTGAACTTCACAGTGAAACCCTGCCTCACAACCAAAAAAACAGCAACAAAAAAAAAAAAAAACACTAAAGGTTCATCAAATGAGAAAGTTTTTATAAACTATGAAACATTCGTTGACAGCAAGTTTTTTAATGTTTAAATAACATTTATTAGCTGGGCCTGTAATTCCAGTACTTAGGAGGCTGAGTCAGGACAATTGTCCTGAGTTGGAGACCAGCCTGGGTTACACAATGAGATTCTGCCTCAAAAAAATAAATAAAATCTATTATAGTAAAAAAAAATTGCCATTAGTCTTCATCAAAATATTCCCCCCTTCAAATAAATCTAGTCTATTTGTTTTCTCTTTTTTTAATTAGTACACATTTGCAATACAAAATAATTACAAATATGATGGGGAACAGATATGTGTACGTAATACATCTAAATCTTGTCATGTCCCCTTCTTCTCCCTCATTCTCTCCTTCCTGAGAGCAAGTTATAGACAGTAAAATACAGTAATCGGATTCATTATTTTATATATATACACACACACATACCCATACACACACATATACATGCTTTTATATTTAAATTCATTTAAGTAGTACAAATGACAGTGACAATGATAATCACTTCTTTGTATATGTTCTGAACGTTTAAATTCACCACTGATGAAATTAAGTGATTTTTTAAAAATACTAGCTTTAGCCAGGCATGGTGGCACACACCTATAATCCCAGCACTCAGGAGGCTGAGGCAGGAGGATTGCCATGAGTTCAAGACCAGCCTGAACTACACACTGAGTTCAAAGCCAGTCCTTGCTACACAGTGAGACCCTGTTTCAAAAAAACAAACAAGCAAAAACCCACTATCTTTTATTTTCACCTAGTTTAAATAAGCAGTATATCTTCTAAAAAGAATCTGACAAAAGAACCATAGGAGCATTTAAAACTTACCCAATTATCATGTGCTTTTTTCTCATGGGAAATAACCTGAAAACAAAGGTATAAAAACACAATTACTTTTCTTAAGTAAAAACCACTTATATCTACCACCATGATTTAATGTACAACCCATAAACTCATAATATTCCAAACATCTTTGGTGAGACAGTAAACATTTTAAAACAAATTTTCAAGTACACATGATTTACTCCATTATACTTTTAAAACAAAAATTAAGTGTACAAACAAGATTTTTGTCTAGTAAAGTTCTATTTTTTGCAGTAATCAACTCAACAAAGAGTTTCTAACAGATAACCAGCCTGGCTAAATATGAGACCCCAGCCAGGAATGGTGGGACACTCCTCTACTCCCAGCACTTGGGAGGCTGAGGCAGGAGGATCACTTTTGTCTGAGGTCAGCCTGGGCTACACAGTGAATTCAAGGCTACACTGAACTACACAGCAAAACTTTGTTTAAAAAAAATTATGAGACCTCAATGCTAATACATGTTTATTTATCCCAGGTAAACCACATTCCCAAGGAAGCAGAATCCTTAGTTCCCTAAAAACGGTCCATAGGCATATGCCATTCATACCTAAAGGGAAGTAGATGGTCATGTAAGTGTGTCCCTGCACCAATGCAAACAAATCAGAATTGTTTCAAATTACACACATACGCACACATGCACACATACCTACCTGCCCTTGATAAGACTGAATGGTTTTCTCCAATTCTTCTTCAAGGTCTTTGGCTCGTTTCCTAAGAGGAACAAATAATTACTCTAACACAGTATTAAAATATAATAAACACTCCACTAGAAAATACTAAAACACCCCAACGCTCTGTTTGTGTAAAATGTAACTCCAAAACTCATGCGAAGAAAGCACCTTTAAGGAACTCTAAAGAATCTTTCCCTGATCTGTGTTTTTTAAACATGTATCAGGAGTACTTTACTGACCACCGCCCAGCTGCTCCAATCACGTTCCTCTCCACTCTTCCGATCCCTCGCTCAGTCCCCTGCCCTAGTATCCCAGACACCAGCTTCCTGCCCAGCCCTTTGCTCGGGTGATCTGTGCTATGTTTCCAATCTCGGTCTTCTTCATTTTCCCAATCTTTTTTTTTTTTTTTTTGTGCTTTTCTCATTCAGCATCTGACTACAGAGAGTCAGACTTATGTTTCCTCTTCCTACTTTCCTCCCTGCGCCTCTTAGATTTTTTGTAACTTCTCTCAGCCTCTGTGCTAGAAGCAAGCTCTGAAGCCAAGAGGCGCTGACCGCTGCTTCTCCTGAATGGCCATCACCATCATCTGAATCTGACCCAAGAGAGCGGGGATATTTCCTGCGGCGTTTCTTAAAAGTCTTAGATATTTCTTATTCTTTGAATGATGAGGCTGACACTCTTGCTCAAAGACATGCACAAAACCTTTAAATGTTCTTTTCTTTTCAGACTCTAGACTTATGTCCTCGAATGCTGGCTCTTCTACAAACCTCTCCCGAGCATCTTCCCAGATGGCACCCTGACCTAATTTTAACTTGAAGCCACCACTTGGTTCCAAGTCTAGCAAAGTTGCACGAAGTGTTCAGTATACAACTTTTCTTTTTTTTTTTTTTTTTAAGAAGTATGACCCTGGAAGATTTACTCAGATGCCAGGAATCTTAGTAGAATTCTAGGAAATTAACATCTTTTACAAGCTAAAATATTACTTATTACTTTATAAGACTAACAAAATAATTCTTTCTTTTGGTTAAAACCCAAACTTACTCTTCCCTAAGGTAAATCAAAATAACACAAATACTATATTCTGGTCACTATATACTATATTCTGAGGTTCTGCCAAAACCTCAGGATATACTATAGATGTTGTGGACACTATTATATTCTATTTCTTTTTTATTTCCTTGGATCTATTGAAAATTAACTTTATCAGGATGTTAACTATGGCTCACTGTTCTTTTTAAAATACACTGTAAAACTCGTTAGGATTGTATACATTCTTCTCATTTGAACCAAAAAGTAACAGATCTTAAAATTAATGTGTTTATACGTTTCTTGATATTAACATAAAACAGAATTGCTCATATTCAAATGTGAGGTTTAAAAATCACATATGCTTAAAAGAAAAATTCACTCTTCTGTGTAATTATATAAGAGCAAGAATTCTGAATGAAATAAAAATGTCATTTGGTTTTGGCTGCTTTATCTTTTTTCTATCACTGAATTTTTAGATACTCTACTCCCGCCCCCGCCCCAAAACAGAGTATTTATATTTAATACCTGTAGGTCTCCAGCTCTTCAACAGCATAGCTAATCTTTTCATCCAGTTTAGAAAGTTTCTCCTCTTTTTCTAGACGGGAATTTTCCTCTACTGTTAATTTCCTTAAAACAAGTGTTTTATTTCTTTTAATATGTGTCACAAAGTAATCAATTACATCTTTCTGATTTATCAAAACTGTTACCTCTAAAACAATTTTTAAAATACCACTACAAATATCACATGCAAGAAAAAAAAAGTAAGCATTTATGGTGTGGAATATTATAAACTTAACATAATACTGTATTCAGGACAGTAGTACTGAAATTATGGTCTCAAGCGTTCATGCCAGGCATGGTGGCACATGCCTGTAATCCTAGCACTCTGGAGGTTGAGACACGAGGATGCTACAAGTTAGAGGCCACCCTGGACTACACAGTGAGTTCAAGGTCAGCCTGAACTAGACCGTGAAACCTTGTCTCAAAAAGACAAAAAAAGTTTTCTGTATTAATTTATTGAAAAATAAGGTTATAAAGATAAATGCTAATAACTATTATGACTATCATTTATCAAGCTTTCTTTATAAAAAGCATTAAATGTTTTTAGACAAAAAAATTATCATCTAATAAACTGTTTCAATATTTTAAACTGGTAACAAAAAATAGGGATTAGGCTTCCATCAGTTCAGTAATAATAATAACAACAACAACAGAATAAACCCAAAGTGAATAATATTAGAAGCAGTACTAGTCCTACTTACTAATCTTAGTTTCTATTTGTTATTTTTTGAGACAAGGTCTCACTCCGTAATTCAGGCTGGTCTTGGATTCACCAAAATTCTCCTTCCTCAGCCTCGCAAGTGCTGGGATGATAGGAGTGTGCCACTACACCTGGCTATTCTTAGTTCTTTCAATAGCAGTAAGTAATTTACTAGCCATTAGTAGGTGCCATTAGTCTAGCACCACACCGAGCCATTCCCGTGGTAGCAACCCTATGGCACGTGTGACAGACACGGCAGGCTGTCTGGATCACGGCAAGCTCTAAAAGGCTAGCATCCCTGGACCAACCCTTTACAAGTGTTACCATATTTAACTACTACAACGCCTCTATAAGAAAGGTACTATTGTTACTCCTATTTTACAAAAGTGAAAATAAAACAGAAAAACAATGCTGGGTTCATTACTTAACAACAGAGATCTGCTGAGAAATGTGTCATTGGGCAATTTAGCCCCATTATATAAACATCAGAGTGAGCGTACTTACACAAACTAAGAGACTCATGACATCCTAGATGACATAATCTTACGGGCCGCCTTCACATGCAGAGCTCACTGCTGACCCATGTAACACACTGTGCTGTGTGACTGTAACCAGACCCAGGCAGAGGGCTCTCAAGTCCTCTGCATTACCCACACGGCTTCATGTAGTATCATTTATGCTATTCTCTCAAGAAATATTACTGAACAACATGGGAAAACACATATGGAACGCCAAACAGATGTCTCCTCTCTGTTATGAACTTTTAAAGGAATATTAGAAATTACTGGAAAAATAGCATAGGACACAAGTAAATGTTTTATATTTTATACATTACATGCATATTGCTTAGAAAGTACACCTGGAGAGCAACCTTTAGTAAATCCTTTAAGAAAACAAAGGTGTTGCCTTCAGAAAAGCGTGAAGGCATGAGAGCCCAGGTTCACGAGAAGGTGTGTCTCTGCAGACTGTACACTGGAGAAGGCCAGCAACCCTTGGAGCCCCTCCCCCAGGCCTGCGCTCTTATCTGCCCTCCCCTCGATTCTGAGAGGGCCTATCAAACGTAGAAATCACACTCTGAAAGGAATCTCAAGGAGACAACTAATGAACAACCGTATCTTCACATATTTAAAGCAACATACTAAGCTTGCAGTTCTACATTCATTTTTACTTCTCTGCAGTATTAAATTTGGAAAAGTGCTAGTAATGTAACATAGGTCTTGAAAACCACGGAGACATAAAACAACCACACTTACATTTCACTGGTGCGGGGAAGATTTTAAATCTAACATTTTACTGGTTCTGTCAACTCTCTATATTTCACTCTGAAGAGTAACTAGTACCATAATTCATTGAAGCTGAGCACTGGATAGTTTAAGAATGTGACATATAATATTTGGATAATTTAAAACATTTCAAATTAATCAATGAAATCACAATGCAAATAAACACAGACAGGATACTATTCAACCTCTCATTTTTGCTTTGAAAATCTACAGAAGAGAGCTTTTTTTCTTTGAAATGTAAATATATCTAATTAAAATCCCATATCAACCATATACAATTTATTCCCAAAAATTTACTCATTTTTTCTGCATTTCTGCCATCTCAAATAATGTCTTTTGTCCAAAGGTACTTCCAATACAGTGGTGCCTCAGTGCACAAACAATTCTCTCCATGATTCTGGTCACAAATTGAATCACACAAGAACCAAATCAATTTCCCCATAAGGCCAACACTAAACCTAACCACTGAAATTGATTTGGTTCTCATCGAATTCAGTTTGCAACCAGAATCATGAAAAGAATTGTTTGTACAGAGGTACCACTATATCCTGTACTGTAAATTAAAAAGAATAGACTATTCTTAGTTTTACTGATTAAATCCCTGAGGCTGTATTTCAAGTCTTTCATTTAGTCAGATTTATTTCTCTTCTATAACCTGTGAAGTCCAAAATGGCCCACAGGTCCATGATGAATGCAAGTTTTCATCTCTGAATTTTTTTTTTCATCTCTAAATTTAATCCAAATCACTGACATATATAGTGTGGCAGTGAATGAGCTAACCAACCACCCAATATCTTCACCTCACTAGAGCATTAACATTTTCTACCAACTTACAAGTATATACAGGATGTTCTTATCATTTATTCTAGTCACATTCCATGAAGTTGCCACAAGCCCTGAATTAACAAACACTAGATCACTGCTCCTAAGGGTAACATAAAATTAGGATCTTATTAGCCTCTGTTCACAATAACTTTATCAACCAATCTATACACAATCTTGCTTTATTTTACTTAAATGCATGTTGTCGATTTATTTACACTGTTCTCACAGTCAACGGTACTATAGCTCATACCTAACCAAGGTTTAGGTGATATGTATTTTCCCTGTAACATGTGTCATAGCCTTCATGTATTTCACAGTACTAGACAGTACTTGGACATCACGCTTAGGGAGAATTTTAAACAGCTAAATCATAAAAAAAAAAAGCATAAAAATGTTAAAGATGAGTCACTGAACACTACGAAAATGACTCCCATCCTACAGATTAAGAGTTGAAACAGGCAAGACAGAGTTTTAGCGTCAGCTGGGCAATTCAAACTTTGATAGTTTTTAACCCACACATGTTTTTGCCCACAAATGGCTGCAAAAGCTCTGCGAGAACTGATTTGAGGGTTACAAATAAATTTCATCAAGTACGCAAATCTGCATGTACAGACTCTACGAAAATGAAGCAAGAGGATTGCCATGAGTACCTAAAATACATGAGTTCAAGGCCAGCCTAAACTACACAGTTGACCCTACCTCAAAATAATAATGATAAAAACAACAATGTAATTTTTCTTACCTGTGGAGTTTCCTTTCATTCTCCTGATAGAGCTCAGTCATCAGTTCAAGTTTCTGCCGAAGCTTCTGATTCTCACTTGCAAGCTGTGTGTTTTCTGACTGCACTGATGCTTGTTCACTCTGGAGATTTTTAACACGATCTAAAGAAAATTTTGAAAACTCAAAGAAATAAATATTCTGAGTTGTACCCTAACATTTCAGAAAGAAAAAAATTGCTAAAAATACCAAAGTAATAATCTAACTTCAAACTCAATGGAAAATGTGTAAGGTATCTTGTTCATATTTTAATAACTGTAATATTTAACTAAGGAGCTATACAGACTTTGTTCTACTTTTTACTAGCATATCCTTGCTACACCCCAGAGTTACGTTCAGTTCGGGGAAACAGCACCTGTGTACAGCACACCTTCATCAGTTTCACTCCTCGCACCTCCCTCCCCCAGCACCAGCCCATTTCCAGCTACTGCCTCTCTGCTTCCTCAGTTTCTCCTTCACTTCACTCTTCTATCTGGCTTTAGATGTGTCATGTAAGAGGAATCATGCTATAGGTAACTTTCTGTGCCTCATCTTCTCTGACTTTTTTCACTCAACAGTAGGGCTCCAGATTCCACCCATTTTCTTAAAAATAACACTATCTTCCTAATCTTTCTGGCTGGGTGCTGAACATGTGTGGTAAGAGCGGACAACTATCTTATTCCTGATTTTACAGCGATGCTCCCAGTTTTTCTCCGTTCACTATGATGCTGTCTGTGATTGTCTATATACAGCTTTTATCAATTTGAAGTGAGGTTCTCCTATATCTGTTTTCATCAGGGTTTTTATCATGAAGTGATGCTACAGCTTATCAAATGCTTTTTCTATCTCTGCTGAGATGATTATGTGATTTTCTTGCCCTTGACTCTACTTATGTAATAATGTACTGAACTTACTGACTTACATATACTGAGCCATTCTTGTAAGCCCAGGATGAAGTCGGCTTGGTGTATGATCTCTTTAATAATTTGTTGAATTCTGTCTGTAGGTATCTTACGGGAAATTTTTGCAACTATGTTTATCAGGGATACTGACTTGTAGTTTTCTTTTTTTTGTTAAATACTTATAAAGCTTTAGTATCAGAGTAATACTGGCTTCATGGAATGAGTTCAAAAGTACTCCCTTTCAATTACGTGGAAAAGCTTGTAGAGTACTGATGCTAGTTCTTCTCTGAAATTGTGGTAAAATTCAGTGGTGAATCCACTGTGTCCTGGGCTTTTCTTAAATGTTAAAACGGGCTGGGGATATAGCACTGAGCTAAGGCCCTATATTCAATCCCCAAAAACAGGAAATACTTGGGTACTTTTATTAAAAATATAAACATTATTGGGGCTGGAGATTTAGCTCAGCGGCATAAGCACCTGCCTGGCAAGCAGGCAGTCATGAGTTCAATCCCTGGTACCGATAAAAAGGAAAAAGACAAAAAAAAAAAAAAAAAAAAAAATATATATATATATATATATATATATATATATACACACATATATAAACATTATCAGTAAAGTAAATAGAATTTACTTCTACAGGTCTAACATCCCTACTTATATGTAGTAATAAACATGGATTTATATTAAAGAAAGGAAACATATACAGCAAAAAGTACTGAAGATTGGTTTTGTAAAAAAATGTTTAAATTTTCAATTTGCTATTTCTTAACATTTAAAACTACACCAAATATGACACTCATAATAAATGGTTTTACATGTTTTCAAAATTATTCCACTTACTTCTCATAAATGTAAAATAAAATGAGAAAATACTACCAACAACAAAACTCAGGACTAATTTTCCACAATAATGGGGCTAGAGATTTAGCGCAGCAGCACAGCGCCTACCTGGCAAGCACAAGGTCCTGAGTTCGATTCTTGGTACCAAAAAAGAGATGGTTTCCACATATACTCACCAATAAATTGGATTTTTCCAAAATTGATTCAATAATTCATTCTCTAAAAAGAGATGTATTTAGTTTGTTTTTTTTTTTAAACCAGGAATCGAATTATCAACCTCACCATTGCCAGGCAAGTGTTTGTGTCACTGAGTTAAACCCCGGGCTTAGAAATATTTTTAAACTATGTAGACCACTTACCTGTAAACTCTTCCTTTGTTTTATCTATTTCGGATAGCTGTGTATAAATCTGGTTTCTTTCTCCTTCTAAGGATTTTAAAGAAGCATTTAACTTCAAAGAGCAAAAGAAGAAAAAAGTAACATTAAACAGTTAAACAAATAACAGCAGCAGCAGCAAAAACCCTCAATATGCCGCCCCAACCCTCCTGAAGCTATTTTATCACTCTAATAAAGTCATCACCTAGAAACCAACAATCCCTCCATGTCAGAAAGCTAGTAAAGTCACCGGATGACTATTTCTGAGACCAGGAATAGAGATCATCAGTACATGTTTTCTTACTGGGTGCTTAAAGAGTCACTATGTGCGTTCTGCGCCTTCAACACAAGTTTCCAGTTTTCCTATCACTTACCAAGACCTCACATAAAGAGCAGAGACCAAGACAGAAGAAAAACAAGTAAGCCAGAAGAAAACGAACTCAATATTTACTTCTCAAAACAGGATATGGTGCAGTAGAGATAAGAAACTACTAAGACCAAAAGAAAAAGAATGTACTAAGAGAAATCTAACATAAAATACAGTATGGTAAGCATTTAAAATATATTTATCATTTAAAGTAATGAGTAAACTTGAAAGTTTTTAATAGATTCTAAAACTTTTTAGTTTTTGAAGTTAAAAAAGTAAGTAACTGACAGAAATTTCTGATCACTTTTTAAATACACATAATGAGGACAATCAAATGGGCTTTTAAAATAGCTATTAGACAGGAGCCACAGCACACACCTCAATCCCAGTACTCGGAAGGCTGACACAGAAAGATGGGCACAAGCTCCAAGGCAAGCCTTAGCTACACAGTGAGCTCAAGGTCAGCCTGAATCACACTGCAAGATCCTGCCTCAAAAAACCAGAAAAGGGGCCAGGCACATCACTCATTGGCAAGTGCCTGCCTGGCAAGTGAGGTCCTGAGTTCAATTCCCGAGACGCACCAAAAAATAATAAAATAAATAATAAAACAGAGTAGCGACTAAGAATATACATGTTTAACCAATGTGCTGTTTCTTCATCCGTATTTTCATAGTTATGTGACAATACAAACCTTAGCAGCATAAATCAGTTTCTTCAAAGCTCCTTTTGGCTCATTATCTATAGTGAAAAATAAAACTACAATTAGTTGGAAAAGCAGCACAGTACACCAACAAATATCCAAATAACTATTAATCCACTCAAGTAGAACCCTGTAATTCCAGAATTTAGTACAAGGTAAAATGGTCTTTGTTCCCAGGAAGCTAAACAATAAAAGCACCAGGTATACCATAACATTTTAAAAAGTTCTTCTACATTAATTCCAAAAACAGACTTATAAAAAGGATTGAGTATCAACCTACATACAGACCACCATCTCAACTATTTCTGGCCTTTTATAGCACCCAAACTGAGTGGAATTATAACCCAAATAAAATAACAGTGAACAAGACTAAGTTCTACTAGAAACTTACTAGTTTCTTTTATGAGATAAGTAAAAATAAACATAGAACTTTATGACAATCCTCCCTTATTTACAGATGCACTGTGATTTCCAAATTGCATAAATGGTTGGAAAATACTAAATGGAAAATTCTATAAACAGATTATTTTAAATTATGCACTATGCTAAGTAGGACCTAGTGCTGTAATTCCATGCTGACCCAGCATTCCCTTCTTCCTAAGCCCTAAATCACCCATCTGGCCAGCGTATCCACGCTATATACACTGTCTGCCCATCAGTCACTCAACAGTCATCTCAGTTATCAGGTGACCTGCTGTAGCCTTATGAATAAGAGCAGTCATATCCACATAATTTTCCTGACAGTATACTGTTACAATTTTTCACTAGTGTTAAAATTCTCTTACTATAAACTGCACATTAAATATCATAGGCGTGTAGGCATGGAAGAAAACAACACATATAGTGATCAGTACCAAATGTTGTTGCAAGCACCTACTAGAGAGCGTGGATACCCGTTCCTGAGGACTACTACATATATTTACTTCAGAAGTATAACTTTCTTCCAACATATGAATACTATCATAAAAGAATATTTTACTTTTTTTAAAAAAAATCACACTTGCTACTCTTAATGACAGTGTTGATCATATAGCAGATCAGAGAAAAGAGAAAAGAAAGTCATAAAAGAGGAACAATCACTGGAGTGAACTGGGAGGAGCGCACAAGATAGCTGTGTACTATTTTTACTACTTCGTAGGAGTCTGAAATTATTTCAGAGATGGAGGTGTAAAGCACAGCTAGCTGGCTGTATAGTCATGAGAGTCCTTTGTAACCGTCCCAATTCCTGACACAAAAAAAAGGAGAGGGAGGAATGGAGCAGGGTTCATAAAAAGAAGATGTGTTATGTCCATGTGGCAACTCTCCATAATGAATGTAATCACCATGTAGTATAAATGGATGCTAACAAAAGTAATTTAAGAATAAAATTATATCAAAATAAAAAGATCTGTCGATAAGCCAAGGGCACGGTTTGAGAATCTAGTGAGTGGCTATAGTGAATTTAGCTCCTGCCAGTTTCAGAAGGCAACTAACAATGGCAATGACAATTTGAGACTGCTAAGATTAAAGTACTACAATCATCTGACTAAAGCAAAAAAAAAAAAAAATTAACATAAATTATTAAGCACAAGAAAAGAGCACTGAGATGATCCAATTTTAGAAACTGTTGCAATGAAGGCACACATAACACAGAGAGAACAGAGGGACGGAAGCTGTTAAGTTTGAGGAGCTGAAGAAAGATTTCCTAGAAAGGCAGTAATCCAGCTAAAACTGAACTGGTGGGATGGACAGAGAGACAGACGGTGTTTCAGACAGACAGACAGACAGAATATGCTCAAGTACAGGTAGATAAGGAACAGGGTACACAGGGGAAACAAAAAGGAAGCAGAACTCGTCACCACTTTAGCAAAGAGGGTGATCATGACTAATACCTATGTGGGCACCATCTGCTGATTCACTCCTCATGTCCAGCTCCAAGTTACCATCGTCCGGCACGTCCTCTCCAAGCACAGCAGCCCAGTCTTTCATCTTTAACAAGTGTTCAGTCAGAGACTTGACATTTAACAAACGAGAAAAGCAAAGAGAGAGGGTAACGCCTTATGCTAACGGCTTTACACCTTACCAACCACAGCAGTAGTTCAAAACCAAACCATGTAAATAACAGTACACAACTACTTATTTTCTGTTATTAAAATACATAGTTTCTATTACTAACTATAAAATGTATTGCCAAATATGCTAAACGACTATGAAGTATAAAATATTTCCTATATGACATTTCCCACATGTCACAAATAAAACTGGCATTAACATGGGAGTGAAATTTGGTTTTGTTTTTTTGTGGGGGAAGTGAATTCTATGTGAAGCTGCCAGTGAGACAAAATGATCACAGATTTTTACTTGACTCATTCAATTAAACAACTAGCTAAGGAATTCAGTTGATAAAGAAAAAGACATTGTGGATGAGAATTAAAATGAGAGTATTAAGTTTTACAACAGTGCTTCAAATCTTGGATAAAGGACACTTTTCTAACACTGTAATCAAATGGTTACATCCTGCTCTGAAGTTTTCACCTTTCAACTTCATCCCTCTCTTCAAGGTTTATGGCAAAAACAACACACATTACATTTTTGAGTGGTGCTTAGGGAATCACAGCTCATTCTTCTGTTTAGGAAGAATCCCAAGCCCTTTAGGTAGAGTAAGTTTAGGAGAAAAAAAAGCACACTCATCCCTCAGTACTCAGAGGAAATCGGTTCCAGGCTCCCATCTCTCCCATGATGGATACCAAAAGCCACGGACACTCAAGTTCCTCATAAAAAAGGCATAGTGTTTGCTCCTAACTTACACATATTTTCCTGATACTTTGAATCAACCCTAGAGCGCATATAATACCTAATACAGTGTAAATCCTAGTAATCTTTTGCTATACTTTATTGCTCAGGGAATAAATAATGACAAGGAGAAACTGTGTTCAATACAGATGCAATTTGGGGAAATTTTGATCTATGGTTGGTTGAAGTCACAATTTTGGAATCTGTGGATAGAGGGGCAACATCTGGCAAATCATAAATAAAATTCCTGAAGCTAGTATCTTGACAATATTTTCGTAGCAACAAGACTAGCATAAATCTATAGCAATACCCATTTTACTGTATAGATTACTGAAAGTTTTTCATCTTGTCATTGATACTCACAGTGAGTATTTATATGTACTATGAAAGTTTAAAATTTAAAAAAGAAATGGGGCATAGTGACTCACGCCTGCAATCCCAGCAGTCTGGGAGGCATAGGCAGTAGAATCACAAGGCTGAGCTCAGCTTGGGCAACTTAGCAAGAACCTGTCTCAAAATACAAAAAATAAGTTGTGGGGATGTAGCTTGGTGGGAAGGCCCTGGGTTTAATCCGGTACAGGCTGGCAGGGGCTGTGGTAGGGAGTAATACGCAGGAAAAAGGGGCTGGCAAAGGGAAAACGGGCAGGAGAAAGTCAGACCAACACTGCGAGCAGCACCAACTACTTTATTCCTATTATTACAGTCAAACTCCAGTTAAGTTTATTTTTTAAAAGGTTTCTATCTCTATGGAAGTACAGAATATCAGCAATTCAGACATTAAAGACATTCAGTCAATAAATATCACTTTGTCTATCCTGTTTCTCATACTCTTTCCAACCTCTTACCAGCAGAGAGATGGCAGCCTAAAAAGAAAAGGTAAAACCCATCATTCTTTTCCCTTAAGTGCCCAGAGTAAGATAATACAGAGACAAAATGAGGGCTGGGGATTTAGCTCAGTGGTCAGCACAGGCCTGGCATGAGGTCCTGAGTCCGATTCTCAGTATTAAAAAAATAAATAAATAAAAATCACACACAATGGACATACAGAATACTGATGTACATGATCTTTAAATCTTGAAGAAGTATTTAAAAGTCTACCCAAACACTTAATGAAAACAAAAGCTGCCAACAAAGAGTGTTAAAATTTCAGAGTCAGTATTCTCGCCGACTCAGTCACGAAAACTGTGATAGCTACTTACCTTGATGCGACTGTCTTTATCACTTAGAACTTGTTCTACACACACTTTGGCGTCTTCAAATGTTACTTTCTGCTTTTTAAGCTCATTTACTTGTTCTTTCCACATTTCCAATTCTTGTAAAAGCTGAAATTGAAAAAATAACTAAGAAACCAACTTCTCTCATCACACTTACGTACAGATACACTTATCTGTATGTCTGGGTATATCACTAAGACATTAATCACTTTTTACCCAAGCACCACTCAGGCAGTGCATCTGTTTACATACTGTCCAGAGCATCAATTGGACAGAGGTCATTTCATCCAGGGATTCTTGTATTGAATAAATTTCATAAAATTGTCACTTTTATATTTCCCGTTATGTCGTCTTATAAAAATTAATTGAAAGAAGACATTCTGCCCCTCTCGTGAGCCAGCAGCAGTTATGCTGGGCCAGGAAGAGAAACAAGAAGCCAATTCACCCTTCCCGTGAGCCAGGTGGCATGCAGGCTGGGAGACAAGACCACCACCACCACCACTGCTGCCGGGAGAAAATCAGCTCACTCAGAGGCTGGGTTGATAACAACTAAGGTATAAAAACAATTTAATTCTTATACTGTCTGACTTTGCAGTAGTCCGAGCATCTATTTAGAGGATAACAATATGCAGTAGAGAAACTATGAGGAATTTCTTTCTGCATTGGGGGCGGGGGGTCTTTTCTGAGGCTGAGTTTCATTATATGGTTCAGGCTGACCTTGAACTCACTATGTAGCCCAGGCTGGCTTTGAACTCACAGTGATCTCCTGCCTCAGCCTCCTGAGTGCTGGGATTACGATGTATACCACCATGCCCAGCTTTCTGTCTTGTTTTTGAAATCTAATATTATCTTTTTATTTTGTTTCATTTTATTACTTTGCTTTCTTCAGCGTTCTGATTGGTTTTACTCTGTTTTGTTTGATTTTATTATGTCTGATGGTATGGGTGGCAATTTTGAAGATAACAAAAAGCATGATAGTAACCACTGTTGATTTTCTATTATCCTGGTTTAAAATCACTTACACTGTTTTGTTTTGATTGGCTTTATTCTCTCTTTTTCTGGCTGGTTTTATTCTCTTTAAAATAAAATTTTAAAAAATTAAAAATGCAATTTTTAGCCATCCTGAATTTAAATCACTGGACGAATACATGGTTAAGAAGAACAGAATGCTGTTTTCAAACAACTTTCAAAATAAAAGTAGTGTAAAATAACAGGCATTTAAGCATTCTTTAACTGACTTACAAAATAAATTTATATCAAAGAAAAGGGTTCCCAGCAGTACAAATGTGTTACATTTGGTAAGGGTTTTCTTCTTTCTGCGATGTGCATGTGTGTGTGCTAGGATTGAACGCAGGGTCTCATACGTGCTGTTCCTGAACTGCATTCCTAGCTCTTTCACAACTTTGATTTTGACTCTTCTCACTGAATTGCTCAGGCTAACCTCAAACTTGCAATCCTCCTGCCTCAGCGTCCTAGGTAGGTAGGATTACAGACATGTGCCACCACAGCAAGTAATTTGGTCTTTTCTTGCATTCCTTATGTCACATGTAACACACCATATCTACCTCCATTAAGATTTTTTATATGATTATATTCTTGCAAGTGGAAAATATCAAAGAAAAAAATGAAAAGTTCCAAAGAGATTAAAAAATGACATTTTCAAGCAATTATCATTTAAACTATCTCCCTAAAAGTACGGAATCATTGAGGTGCATTTCCCAGAATTGAATCGAGAGAAGTTTCCAGACTGCAAGTGCCCAACCCGATGTATGAAAGTCACACTCCATTTTGTAATTTCAAGGAAATGGAAACAATGAAAAGATACTAAAAGATCCCAGGGAAGAAAAAAATAGATAACAAAAAAGATGTTCTATAATCTGCATAGCATTTGACTTCTCAAAAGTAATAATGAAAAGTGAAGATGATGGAACAAAGACATCAAAACATCATGGAAGAAAAGAAAATTCCAATCCATAATATTCAACCAAAGTATCAGTAAACAGGAGAGAAAAACAAGACACGTGCAAGTATGAATTAACCAAAGAAGAGAAAAATCATAAGCACAAGAAACAGAAGATCTAACCCAGGAGAAAGGTAACGGAATCTAGGCACAGAGGCACATGCCCGTAATCCCAGCACTTGGGAGGCTGAGGCAGGTGGACCTCCATGCATTAAAGGTCAACCAGGGCTACCTAGTGAATTCAAGGCCAGCCTCAAGTGCACAGCAAAGACCCTGTCCCAAAAGACAACAGAATCCTCAGGATGGGAGTGAAGTAAACTCTCAGGACAACAGAGGCCTAACAAAGCTACAAAATAAATTCTTACTGGACCAAGAGAATGGATGGCCTCAAGAACTGCTTTAAATAAAAACACTGAAATTATCAGATTAATCAAACCATTTAAATGCATGAATATGACATCTGTGCCTCCAAAAGGCAATGCACAGATGAGTTACATATTACAGGTAACAACTGTTAACTAAAAGAAAGATAGAATGTTAGTTGTGATCAGGAGAACCACATGGCTCAGATTAAGTAATCATAATATAATCACTGAAAAATTTTTCCACTGAAAAACTGTAACTTTACTGGGAAAAAAGGAGGGGAGAAATGGATGTAGATGTGTGAAGTGTCTGTGTAAGTGAGGGAGGAAGAGAATACACGTTAAATCCTCATTTGACCTGCCACCAGAATTTCTTCTACCTTAGGCTCCAGACTGACAACTTCAATAACCCTCACCGCTATTCTCTGCACGTCCTTCAGTCTGGCAGAGGAGCTCGTGCTCAACTCTGCGACGATGCTGCACACTGGGTTACCTGCATTCCTAGAGGAAGACGGCAGCAGAGGCATACACATTTATATCCTAAACACACAGAAATCAAAGTATGCAAGGGTGTCTGTCCTGCTACATGCTGTGCAGGAAAAGCCTACTCCTGGGAGAGGGGAAGAAAGGAAGGAAGGAAGGGGAAGGCGATGAAAAAGGAATGAAGAAGTGCTATGTGCCTGCACCACCTCCTCACCAGGGATTCCAGCACTATGTACCGCAAATGTGTAGTCATTAACTAAAACTGAAGAAAAATAAACTGTCTTAAACTGTAACCTAATCTCTGAATAGGATACAGCAAGGTAAGCTTTCCAATTGCCAGTCTGACGGCCAGGTGTGGTGGCACAGGCCTGTAATCCCAGCACACGGGAGGCTGAGGCAAGAGGATCACCTCAAATTCTAGGCCAGCCTGGGCTATCCAGTGAGTTCAAAACTGGCCTGAGAGGCCGGGTGTGGTGGCACACACCTGTAATCCCAGCACTCAGTAGGCTGCATTAGGCAGGACTATTGCGAGTTCAAGACCAGCCTGGGTTACAAAGCAAGCTCAAGGCCAACCTGAACTGTATAAAGAGACCCTGTCTAAAAAAAAAAAAAAGAAATGCTACTCTGCTTTTTGCTACATGGAGGTTAAAAATCAGATTTCTTTTTTTACGCTTTATATTCTAAAAGAGGTAGCTAACTTCTAGAATACTGCCTCTGGTCCTCAAGGACAATGTTGTTTTCTTGAATAGGCTAATTATCATGTTGAGAACTGATTTGTGATTTTACTGGCAGTAAGCAATATATTTAAGAACATCTTGACCCTTGCTAGTCTCCTAATCCTGATTTGTTATAGCTACCAAAAACCTCCACGTGCAGTTCAAAAAGCTTATACTTACCCCTAGCAGGGATCGGTCATGAGTGTGGCCAGGCTGTCTGTAATTACATATTCACAAGACGAAGAGTCTCCAGAGTACAAACCTGTTTTTGGCTTTCCTGAAGTTGAGAATTTTCATTCATTGCATCCTTTATTGCTCCCCTAAGTCGCTCTTCGTTGATTTGAAATATTTTGAAGGTTGTTTTGGCCTGAGCAAAAAAATAGCTATAGAGTACAACAATCCAGCAAATGCCCATTTTACATTCTCCTTCAACCATGATATTTATTTATTTCTTTATTTTTAATTTTATTTAAGGAGAAAAAGAAAAAAAGCAGAGAAAGGGTACAAGTTATACAGATTTACAGAAAAAAATAAACAGCAGGAAATCACTAGTTAATGGATTACATATTGTCATTTTAGAAATAATTGTTTAAGTTAAAAATTAAAGCTTATAAAGTGGACATTCCAACAGTGAGACTGCAAACAGTTCTGTTCAATGATCCAACAAAACTCAGTAATAACATTATCTATGTTATACACTTATATATACATGCAGTTATATCATTTAAAGCACTTTCTTTTCCTCTCTTTTGTACAATGACAATTACATATTTTGGGTTTTGTTGCTCCCACAGTTATTACTTTTTTGGAAGAGAGTAGAACCAAATGTGACATAACAGAACAGAGTCAGTCAAATCAAAAGGGTGGACATAATAGATAATGTAAAAGCATAATACAAGGTGATCAACAATGGTTACCATAATGCCTCCCGCTATCTCTAATAGAATTGCCTATATCATCAGTTATAATAAAATTGAACAAAACAGTAAAGAACAAAACCAGCAAAACCAAAACATTGGAGATATTATAGGTCTTCAAAAGTAGATAAAAGTCAACGAGAATGGGCATCATAATGAATCCCACTATCTTCACAGCTGTTGCCTAAACTTTCAAACCTGGTATTATCAAGCAAAACAGAATAGGGAGACATCAGTCAAAAACAAGATGGTGAGAACAATACAGGGCTTTAAATCAATGGAAAGTCAAAGTGGGTTACTATAATATATCCTGCTATTTTTTTTATTTATTTTTCCCTTAATTAAAAGCCATGATATTTAAACAAAGACAAATGTTTGCCAATATTGATAGCAAAGTCATTAATTTAGAGAAAAATAAGGGTCTATTCTTGACTCTGCTGCCAATTTGCCAAGTAATCTTAAACAAATGGTTTCACCACTTACAACCTTCTACGTGTTGTGCAATAAATTCTGTTACCTATTTACTTTGTGTCTCCATGACTAAAAATTAAACTCCATGGAGTTTGTCTGTTAGTGTTAAGTGGCATACACCTTTAATACTGTTCAGTAGATCATCATCATAATAATAATAATAAATACTTACCCAGTGGGGAAACAAAAACTTTTGAAGTACTTCATGTAAAAAAAAATACATATCTAAGATCTGTATCTCAAATCCTAATATAGTATCTTATATCTTAATAATAAAAATAGTTAAATTGTTTTTAAAAAGAAAAAAATTAAAATTTCAAAACATCAGGGAAAAATAGTAAAATTAAAACAATTTTCACCTTATGGTAACCATTTTGGATTTACTATTATCTTATTTTGAAGTCTTGTATTGCATCCATTGTTTTGTTTTTATTGGTTTTATCCTGTTCTGCTCTGCTTGACTTTTTTTAATGTCTGAAGGTATCTGCAGCTATTTGGGAGACAGCAGGAGGCATTAAGGTAACCACTGTTGATTTCCTATTATTTTGAAGTCCTGTGTCACTTACACTGGTTTGTTTTGATTGACTTTGGTCTGTTTTGTTTTGCTTGGTTTTATGGTCTTTAAAATAAAAAATTTTTTAAAATGAAAAAAAAAATTTTTTTCACACACAATAGATTCACTAGACTAATTCAACTTACTTCAGCTACTTGCGCTTTGAGGGATTTTGATTCATCTTCTAGAGCCCATATCTTTTCTGAAACATTGGCCTTCTGCAAAGACAGAACTAATCAATAAGAAAGAATTCACTAACCATTATACATACATATAGTATGCTGCTAACCTAACACTCGTGATTCATAAGTGAGGGCTCAGATCAACTGCTCAGTTAACTTACCATACACTGAAAGGGATTTTATACTAAGTTATGTAACTATCTCATGTACTCACACAATTTCAAGGTAAGTCCACTAATATCACATTTTATTAAATGACCTCACACACATCAATATTTTCCTTAAGTCAAATTTTAAAATAAAAAGACAAATGTTTGCTATATGTAATTTACTATGTATGTGCTGATTTAATTTAAATTCTCTTAGTTACTTCTACAGCAGAAAATGTCATTAAGAACATGTGTTGAGAGCTGGATGTGGTAGCACAGGCCTGTAATTCCAGCACTCAGGAGGCTGAGATGAAGGATGGCTGAGACCAACCTGGACTACATTAAGAGTTCAAGGCCATCCTAAACTACACAGTGTGACTTTGTCGCAGGGGAAAAAAAAAAAACATGAGCATGCATGAAACTCAAGATAACTTCTAGGAAATGAAGGACATATTTGAAAAATTTTGCTTTCTACTTTACAACCTTCTATATTCTTTGCAGTTTTTGCTGTTGTTTTAGTTTGGTTTGGTTTTTGTTTTTGCTTTTTGGATTTTGGGTTTTTTTCATCTTTTTGAGACAGGGTCTCACTATGCAGGTCAGGCTGGCCTTGAGCTCACTTCCTAGTCCAGACTGGTCTGGAACTTGCAATGATCCTCCTGCCTCAGCCTTCCTAGTGCTGGGATTACAGGCGTGAGCCACCACACCCGGCTCCTTTGCACTGTTTTTTACAGTGCATGTAATATTTTAACCAACATCATATTAATTTTTAAAACTCAAAACTTTCTTTCCAGGACAAGGGATGCAGCTCAGCGGCACAGCACCTGCCTGGCAAGTGCAAGGTCATGAGTTTGATTTGAGGAAACAAAAAAACCTTTCTTTCCCTGATATGCTCAAATACAAAAGCCTTACCAATTCTTCCTGTTCAGAATGTGTAGATTCCTCATCTTTAAGCTCTTTTTCTAGAAAGAATATTTCATCGTCAAGCTTAGATTTGTTCCTATCCAGTTCTTCACAGGTTTCCTAAAATAGAAAGCACACTTGTCAGACAGCCATGGGAACTCTGGGTTAGGGTAAATCAGATAGTACAATCAAATGTATGTGTAGTTTATATATTTGCTCATTTTTGCAATACTAAAATAATAGCAATTCTAGCAGCAGTCATCAAACTTGCGTAAGGAATCAGCAAATATTTCAGGCCACATAATCTCTGTCATAGTCAACCATATCATTGTCATCAACAACAAAGACAATGAACATGGCTATGTTCCAATAAGATTTGATTCACAAAAAAATGGCAGAAACTCTACTATGCAGTTTGCCAGCCTGTTCTAAAGCATGTTGAAAAGCATACTAAGGAAAATATGAGAAATAAATCCAATTCCATATAAAAACATAAAAAATAAAACCAATTAAGGTTGCATCATGGTAATAGTCCCCATTGAATTACGACATATTTCCTATAAACTTCTTAATTTAAAGTGATTCATGATTAGATTATTCCAAATGAATTTTAAATACTATAATAAACATACCTCTGATATTTGTGATCCTTCATCAAACTTGTTTTTAAAAAATAATAAACCAAAAGATAGTACAGTAATTAAAAAACTTGTTTACAAAAACTTCCTCAAATCTGCCTACCTCATTATAGGAATTCTTCAACTTGAACCTAAATGATCCTACTGGTTGGTTTTTTTGGTTTGTATTACTACATTTGCAATACATGCATTTACAATCACCTTGCAGGAGGTGCGTTCACATACCACAGACTGGTTCTTTTCCTTGGTTCCCGTCCTCCTCTCTCCTTCCCGCCTCCCCAAGTCCCCTCTCCACTGTTGATCTCGCTGATGTTATTAATCTTATCTCATGTATGTGACACACAATGCTTACACTGGTTGAGGCTATCAGGTTCCTGTGCATGGCGTATCTTCCCTCTCCACTTTTTCTTGTCCTCCGTCTCCAGGATTGTTTGGTTTTTATGTACACAGTTAACCATCTAACTTTCTAAGAACTATATCATCTTAGAGTTTATATTCAATTATATTTCTATTCCTAAAAAGAAGTTTGTAAAATTACTAAAACTAGTCAGGTATGGTGGCGCGCATCTGTAATCCTAGCACTCAGGCAGCTGAGGCAGTAAGATCACTGTGAGTTCAACACCAACCTGGGCTACAGAAGCAAGTTCAAGGCCAGCCTGCACTACACAGTGAGACTCTGTCTCAGAAAAAATAAAAATAAAATTACTAAAATTAGAGAAATTTTCCAAAGGTTCAGTTTGACTAAAAATTAATTTGCTGTGCTAGATTATATACACTTGTTACTTTAACAGCAAATTGATGCACTTTATCCGTAATACCACCAAGCCTGAGTGAACAGATCTTTGCTCTGCTATTTTCGCTCTTCATGTTAGCATGCCAAATGCCTTCTAAATCTCCCCCCCCCCCAAGGCAAGGTCTCACTATGTAGCCCAGGCTGGCCTTGAACTCACAGGGATCCTCCTGTCTCAGCCTAAGTGACAGACTTACAGGCGTGTGCCACAGGCATCCACTGCCACTACTCTGCTTTTTACAAGTCCCCCTCTTAAAACAGCCTTAACTAATTGGTCTAACTTGAGGTACACCTCAAATCACCATACATCTTTATAATTAGCTGAATCACACCTAGAGTAGAAACTGTGTAGATGTCTTTGAAACGTCTCACTCAGGGACAACATGTTGGTAGCTTGAAATTGACCACAGTGGGAGTATTCATACCACAGAATTCACAAATGCTTTTCAGACACCACTCATTAAGCATTTACCAACACGCCACTACTTACAGTATAAACCTCCGGCCTAATTCTAGTTAGCACCTACTCTCTTGTGGATGAAGTGAAGGCAAACAGTGTCGCAATTTATATACCTTATTGTTTGAATAATATATGTTATGAAAAAGAACTTTTCCCCAGATTTTTAAGCTGCATCATTTTTTACCTTCAGACTTTGTGCTTCTACTGACTCCTTCTCAAAGCCGACGTCTTTTAATGAACACTCTAAGCCTTCACACTGAAACAAGGCGGTACAGAAGAAAAAGTTGCAAATTTTATTCCAGATTTTATCTAGGTTGCGATCCACAAAGCACACAACTCTAGCTGCAATTTAGCAAGACCTTCTCTCAAAATAAAAAAGGTGTCAGATGTAGTGGCATAAGCCTGTGATCTCAGCACTTGGGAGGCTGATGCAGGAAGATCACTGCAAATTGGAGGCCAGCCTGGACTACATAACATAATGAGATTAAGGCCAGCCTAAACTATATAGTGAGACCTTGTCTCAAAAAAAAAAAAGGATTTTAAATAAATAAAGAAGGGCTGGGGATGTAGCTCAGTGTGAAGCACTGAGTTCAATCTCCAGTACCATCCCCTCTACCAATAAAAGAGATATATATTTTTATATGTAAGCCTCTAGGTCTATTCAATAAGAGTTTGAGTTTTGTTTGTTTGGTTTTTTGTACCAGGGATTGACTCATGGCCTCACTCTTGCCAGGCAAGTGCTTATGCCACTGAGCTAAATCCTTGGCCCAAGAAACTGTTTTTTAAAGAAAAAAATAAAGAAAAACAAAACAAAACAGAAAAAAGGGTAGAAGTAATATGAATTTCAGAGAAAAACATCAACATTAAGAAATTACTAGTTGATAAGTTACATACTGTTCTCTTAGAAATAGTTGTTCAAGTTACAAAATAACAGCATAAAAAGTGGACACTCAAACACTGACAGTGCAAACCATTCTGTTTAATAATCTAATGGAAATTTAGTAATATGGTCATCTATCCTACACACTTGAATGTCCATATAGTTATATCCTTTAGAGCACTTTCCTTCACTTTCGTTTTCACAATATCTGTTATGTATCAATAAGAGAAATTTTATAGTAAATGTCCATCAGGATTTTCCATCTGGGGAAGCAATTCTAGGGCTTGAGCTCAGGGCATCTGTACTTAGCTACACCTATAGCCCCTTCTCTCTTTTTTTTTTTTTTTAATTTTTTGAGCAGGGTCTCAAATTATTAAACTGCCCAAGCTGGACTCAATCTTGCAATCTTTTTGCCTTAGCCCCAGAGGCAGCTAAGATTACAGGTTTTTGCCCAGGGTCAGAAATTTTCATTTTTAATTTCTATAATATGAAAAATAAAGTAAGAAGGGGATATAAAGTCTTTAAAATATAGAGAATAACCATCAACAAATGAAAAATACACATAAAGGCAATAAGACTTCAAAAACAAAAAGCGATTAAAAAGGTTTGTTTTGAATAACCCTTCCTGCTAGGAACAAAAAGAACAGAATACAAATATCAAAAAACATGATCTGTAGACCTCCAAGAGCCATTCAAACACTGAGAACTTAGCAGAAGGAAGGAGTCTCCAGAGAAGCAAGTCCCACATTTGACATTTCTTCTCCCCAAAAGTAAAGGCTGCTAGGATAAAAGCTGAGCAAACATTTCAGAACCAAAAGCTGGGAAGATTAAAAAAAATAAGAGTTGAGGACCCATTGAGTAGGATGAGCTAAGTAGCTCAAGCTTTAGGACAGGACCCCGTGCTTGACTGAATAACCTCTCCCAAAATGTCCACGTCCTACTGCTCAAAATTTCCATGATCATTAAGGTAAGAATCTTGAGGTGGGGAGAATATTCAGGATTATTCTGATGAACCCAATATAATCCTGGGAAACTTTTATAAAAGAGAAGCAGTGTGGGTAGGGGCATGTGTTCTATGATTCCATTTGTGCAAAGTGTCTAAAAAAGGCAAATCTATAGAAACAGATTATTCTGCCAGTTTCTCTAATCATTGTTTTTTGAGTTGACAGCATGCAATTCCTTTATGTCCTTGGTTAAATAAAGTATTTGAGGGATTTGAAGTGGGACAAACTGCATAAAGGGTGTTAACTAAGAGTTCTATCGTTTCTTTGGAAAATAACAAAGACTTTCAAAAATTGATTGTTTTCATGGAGGCACAATTCCGTGGACAGATTAACAAACACTCCTTTACATTCTTCAAATGAGTGGACTTTATGTTACATAATTATATCCCAACAGAGCCGTTTAAAAAAGAGAGAGACCTAGGAAAAAATCTAAGAAAAGATGTGCAAAACCGCAATACAAAAAATGTACAAAATAACAAGAGATTTTAAAAAGACATAAACAGGGCTTTTTTTTTTTTTTTTTTTTTTTTAGTAAACAAGATTTTTAAAAGACATCATCTCATCTCATCTAGTCTACTCTCATTTTGTTGAGTCGAGATCCTGCTATGTAGCTCAGTCTGGCCTTGAATTCACTATGCATCCAAGATTAGATTCAACACAATCCTCGTGCCTCAGCCTCCCAATTGCTGGGATTACACAGGTGTGCCACCACACCAGGCCAGTTTTGTTTCCTCCTCCTCTCCTTCTTCATCACCTCCTTTCTTTGAGACACGTGTAGCCCTGGGTAGCCCAGACGTGCTCTAAATTTTCAACCCTCTGGCCTCAGCTTTCAAAGTAGCTAGGATTACAAGCCTGCAATACTGTACCAGGGGAGGCAAGTATTTCCTTAAGACTAGAAACAGAAAAAATCCTACATAAGACAAAGGAAAAAGACCACACTGTATCTTCAAAAATAACTTTAAAAAGGCAACTTCACAAAAAGACTATCAAAATGGGCAGCATATAGAAAGATGTTTAACCTCATTAGTGGAGGTAACACAAACTGAAACCACAATGAGAAAATACCTTCCACGAAAGAACTGCAGTGACTAATGTTAGTAAGATGGGTAAGCACTCAAGCTGAGCGACAGAACCTGAAAACTCTACAAAGCATTAATAACGAATTTACACAGAAGTAGCTACATAGAGAGTACGAAGTTCCCTGACTCTAATATGAACATTATTTTCATTATGTCTTACCTCTTTTTGAACTAGGCTAACTTTATTAAGTAGTTTACATTTTTCTTGAATTAGTTCAGAAAGCTTTATAGCAAGCTGTTTTTCTCTCCCTGGAAGAAAGAATGATAGACACACATATATACTCTAAATAAATTACAAGTTTTAAAATTATACACAATGAGATAAAATAGAAAACCAGCTTACCTACATAACAGCGGCTTCTAACCTGAAACATATTGTTAACAAAAATTACATTAAAACAAATACATTCAAATAAATCAAACTTATTTAACTTCTACTTCCAATATAAAAATAATAGATTTTTTATTACCTTACTAAGAATACAAGTTACCCAAAAAGTGTTCTATTTCCAATGAGAAAAATGTTGCATTCCTTACTCATGATTCACATTGTACATGACCATGTTAAAGACTCTGAAATCAGTTTAGTGTGAAGATACCTGTTTAATTTCATTAAACTCACGGATTCCTAAACATATCTGGTCCTAAAACAAACTATTTCAAGAAGTTCCTACTATCATGTCCCTAAAGCCAAAATACAACAGCCTGAGAAACACTACTTTAAGAGTACATCCTAGCTGACCCTAAAAAAAAAAGAAAGAAAAGAAACAATAATCAAATTTTTTCTTCTCTTAGGTTTTCTCTCAAATAAGGAGAATAAATAAATCCATTGTAAAAGGATCAGTTTTGGAGCTGAGGTAGCATAACCAAGGAGAAAAGACAAAAGAGGATTTAAATCACCTAAAAACTATGCACTGAGATATAATTAACAGAAAATTTAAAAGAGAAGTATAGTAGAATGGGTATAAATTATTGAAGCTTGACATAACTGACACCACCTCGTGCCCTGTATTTGACCCAGAAGAGTGAAAAATGACTCAGGATACACGTCCCAGGAGAAAAGCAGAATGAGCTGCACCATCAAGAGAAAAAATTAACCTGCTCAACAAAGAAGCAAGATACAGCTGTCAACCAAAACTAATGTAAGATTCTAGCTAGATTGTTTCCAGTGGGATGTCTTGCTTGGCGCTTTTCTGCTTTAAATGCCCTGTAACCCCCCAGTTCGGGGCCACTCAGTTTTGACTCTGATCAGGTGTACATGAGTGGTTGCTGAGCTAAGCTAATAAGATCCCAAAATCTGTCAATTTGGCTGCTTAGATTCTTATATTGATTATGAATCCACTTCACGATGAACAGGAAATTGGGGAACTGAAATATCACATTAAAAAACTCAAAAAGTAACAGAAATCCACAAAGAAATTGAAAAATAAAAGTAAAGGCATATGGAATGAGCAGAAGCGCCAAAATCTAAGAAACAACAATCCCAAAAGAGAGGGGAAAAGCTGTTTAATGAAGGAGAAAGGCCAGGCACAGTGGTATGCGACTGTAATCCCCACACTCGGGAGGCAGGAAGATCATATTCAAGCCCAGCCCAGCACCTTAGCAAGGCGGTCTCAGTATTAAATATTACAAAAAGGGTAGAGGACACGGTTCAATGTGAAGGCCTTGGGTTCAACTCCCAGTATCACCAAGAATCACATTGATATGAATAAGTAACAGCAGGGTTTTAGAGTGAGGACAACAGTAGGCATATGATTGTTTGGATCTGAACAAACGGTCACGCCAACAGAGCACACTCATGAACATTGGTTTGTACCGCCCCATCATCCCAGTCACTCAGGAGGCTGAGGCAGGAGATCACTTGACCACAGGAGGTTCAGGTCAGCCCAAGCAACACAAAAAAAACATGTTTCAAAAAAAAACTAAAGAAAAAAAAATCTAAAGAACCCCTTCATCTTTCTCTGACAAAATTTTTTTCAATAAATACACTCTGCTCTTAATAATAAAACTAAAGAATTCAAATAAAGTCTCAGAAGATTTATCCCACACAGACATGCTAAAAACAATCTTGAAAGAAGTATTCAAAAATCCAAAAGACCCAGCAAGAGATGTCAATTAAGGATGATTAAATACCTTGATATTTGTTATCTTCAAGATAAAGGTGAAGGAAAAAAATTAAGCACAAAAAATAGAAAAAGAGAAACATGTCTATAATCCAGAAAAAAATCTAGATGGCAACATGATGTAGCCTGGAAAGCAATGAAAGTGTACTAAGGTTACTGTCTTTCTAGCAAAAAGATTTACTCATCACTATGAAAAGAACTGAAACATGAAAAATGGAACAAATTAATAAACTAAGCTGTAAGAAACTAGTTCAAATACATTGATGATGACAGTATCTGTAGATAGGCTGCACTTAATAGTGACAAAAGAGATTGTCAAATTAGTATGTATCAGAAAATGTATACAAAATACAGTATATATTATGTAGAGACTATGGAAAGCATAGGATAGAAGATAATTATCAGATAAAAAAAAGTTCCTATGGCTTTATTAGCATCACATTAAAAAAGACCTTAAGAGGACTGGGGATTTAGATCAGGGCATAAGTGCTTGTCTTACAAGTACCAGTCGTGAGTTCGATCCCCAGTACCAAAAATAAAAAAATAAAAATAAATTTAAAAGCCCTTAAGGCAAAAGCATTACTTGAGTTATAGAAGGTCACCAAATACTGACAGGATTCAATTCACAATGGCACAGTAAATCCACATAAGTACACAACTAAAAGATATCCTTAAAATATGTTTTAAAAAGGGCAGAAAAAGATGATAAACCCTTTGCAGTAGAATGCAGCCATTTCTCTTCATTTTTGGTAGAGTGTAGATATATAAAAATTATGAACGTGCCGGGCATGGAGGTGCACACTTGTAATCCCCACACTAGGGAGGCTGAGGCAGAATCACTGTGAGTTTGAGGCCAGCTGGCTACATAGTATACTCAAGGCCAGGCCAGCCTGAACTATACAGTGAAACCCTGTCTCAAAAAAAAAGTGAACAAAATAATTATTAAATTAACAAGCTTGGGGCTGGGAGTTTAGCTCAGTGGCATAAGTGCCTGCTTAGCAAACACGAAGTCATGAGTTTGATCCCGGTACCAATAAATAAATAAATAAATATAAATAAATAAAAATTAACAAGCTTGACCTAATGGGAAAAAATAGAAATGAATATATATGTATCTGCTTTCCACAAAAATCAGTGAAATAAAAGTACAGAGAACACCCACATATATATGAAACTTAATTCATGGCACTACAGATGAAAAGAAATGAATATAGAGAGTAGAGGAAAACATATTCACTCCTTGAGAGAAAAATTTATACTGACTTTCTACTCTACACCAGACCAAACAACTAAACATGACTCAAGGATTTCAGCATTAAAAGCAAAACTTTAAAACTGAGAATTCTGTTCATCATTTAAAAATTACGAAGAAAATGAGAAGAAATTTCACCCTGGGACAGGTGGCACATACTCAACAAGAAGGCATCAATAATATATAAAGAATTGCTACAAATGAGAAAACAACAACCTACTCAAGAGAAAAACTGTCAAAAAAAGAAAGATTTCCAAGAAGAACAAATACATAAATTTACTGGAAAGATTGCATCCAAAGGATTCAAATCAAGACCACAAGGTATCATTTTATATCCATGCCAATGACAAAAAAAATCAAGGATTTCAACAAGAGTAAATACTGGAGAGGACACAGATCAAAGGGAGCTCCAGAATCTCTCACACACCACTGGTAGGAGCACAAACCAACACAAGTGAGTTGGAAAAGAAGCTGACAGTATCTTTTACAAGTAGAAACTCCACATGCCTGAAAGCTAGTAATCTCAGAGGTACATATATTCTCAAGAGAAAGGAATTTAAAATGTATACAGTAACATCATTTGTAACACAAGCCTAAAAGCAATCCAAGTATCCAAAAACCATAAAATCTGTGAATAAACTATAGCGTATTCTCATAATGTAATATTCTAGGGTTAACAACATGGAAAAAGTTATAACCTTTGCAACCCCAAAAACAATTTTTAAAGGCAAGGGAATCACCTTCAATACAGGGAGGCAGAGGATGAAAAGAGGCAGGGCCACCGGAAAGTAAGTGACAATGCTTTTGATTCCATGTTGGTTGATACACAGACGTAGGTTAAAACACACACAGTCTCTGCTCTTGCCCCAAAAAGGCGGCGGCAGAGAAGTGGGGAAAAAAAGAGAAAGAAGAGAGAGAGGAGGAGGAGGATGAAGAATTTAAGGTAGGGTTTTAGCATTAATGTAGAATACTTCCACAAAAAAGTTCTTTAAAGTAAACCAAAAAAATTCCTCTGACTCTGTGTTTAGTGGACGCACATTAACATGAACAACCCACAAAACTACAACCAAACTTGTTACTTTAAATAACAAATGTGTTTCTCATATTATCTGTTCAGTCTAAAGGCACAATTAATTTACTTTTTAAAAATATTTAAGAAGATAGAATAAACATTTTCTTAGAAAACACTGGTTACTTACCGAACAAAAGCTTCTCCATAAAAATAAGACAACAGTGACAAAACCGACAATAGCTGCCCCTATCACCAGTTCCCATGGCAAAGCACTGGGATTCAGGCCTGGTCTCATCTCTTCAGGCAGTGCTGTCACCACCTGCAAGACAAAGAAAAGTAGCTCCCTAAATAGCACACAGCTTTGACAAAAAGCACTGATTACAAACACAGGTTCAAAGGACACGGGATCTCCCCATCAATAACCATCCAGCAAACCACCTGCCAGGCTCACCCCAACAGGAAGCAACTGAGAATATGTTCCAGACAACTTTCAGCCATGGGGAGCACAGTGGGGTGAAACGCCGCGATGGTCACACTGCGAGCTTTCCAGGATGAGAATAACGCTGGGAAAGCCCAAGAAGCTGAGGAGCCTGGCTTCAGGTGATTTCAGTCCACTTAGGTTTCATCAGAGGAGCGCACTGGGTTCAGGCTGGGCCTCACCTCAACTCTAAGACAATCATAAAAGCTTGCACATAACAGACTGCAAGCATCTCGGAGTCCCAGCGTGGCCCACAGCAGGAGCAATACTGACTGCCTAAACGCAGGGGCCAGGCCTCAGTACAGTGACTGTCTCCATGCAGCCACCACCTCTCACAGCGGCCACCCACACTGGGTCCTTCCCCGCACAGCCGAGGCTCTGCAGCTGCTCTGTGTTTCACCTCTCCCTGCATTGGGTCACGGTTCCTCTCGCCCTGTGCGGTATTCTGATGTTACTGTGTCCAGATACTACTTGATCATAAATAAAGGAGAAAGTGGCAGCGGATACACTTTGAAGAACAACCTAAGTATGAGGCCGGTATCTTCCCAGCCCCAAACCTCGATAATAAGCCTTCCCTTTCTTGTCCTTTTCTGTCTAGGGAAAAAACCCAACCTGTAATAGTTATTCACCTCTCCAAAATCTACTTTTTACTCTAATCGCTGTATGTTCTTTCCAAGTCACTAGCTACATTTCATTAACCTGTGCTAAATAAACATGGCCATACTTCTAAAAAGAAATCCCTTTCCCCTGACCTCTGCCTCTCCCTACATTGCTTCAGTGACATCAGTCAACTGATAGTAAGAAATACTGATTTTTTTTCCCTAAGAAAAGAGGAATTTAACATGTAATACTGGGGAGAAAAGAAGTTCTCTTCACAGTTTACATACTCTCCAAGCATCTTATTTCAGCACAACAGATGCACATTACTGACCCATGTATGGAGGTACACATCTGTAATCCCAGCACATAGGAGACTGAAGCAAGAAGGTTACAAACTGGGGGCCAGCCTGGACAATTTAGCAAGACCCTGTCTGAACATTTTAAAGTGCGGGGACTGGTGTTGCTCAGAGCAAAGACGCTGTGTTCCCGAGAAAGAAAAAAAGAAAGGCAGACTGACAGGCAGAAAGACAATGTCCACGTTCAGATCTGAGAAGATCTGATTATAGGGCAAAGGTATACCTCTTAAAGATATTGTACTTGACAATAATTTCTCCTTTACATAGTAGTCATGCTAAAAAATTAAATTATTCCAAATTAAATAATCAGTTATGAACCATGGAAGAGTTTCAAAAAGGGACTAGTTCATTCATTATTCATAAGGAGTTTGATGAAAACAATTTTAGCATGCTTATTAATTTCTTTCATTAAGTCATTTTGTTTTAAATCTCCCTTTAAAAAGGGATTAAAGAGCTTTACTTTGAATTGGTTTTCAAACAACTCAGAACTCAGTCTGAACAAGATTGAAAAGGATCAGCAAAATGAAAAATTAACATGAAGAGCCATTAATACTCATTCAGCTATCCGTCCATCCACTCACTAATTCTGTACTTACTAACCAACTATTTTCCAGACACTAATTAGAACATATTTTCCTGTCCTGTAGTACTCCCACGATCTTGTTTTGACTGATTAGACTCTGTTCCATTCTATATGATAGTATCAAGTTTGAAGACATAGGCAACTACTTTGAAGACAATAAGATTCACTAAGATACCCATTCTGGTTTGACTATTGTCTTCTTTGGAAGTCCTGTAATGTTTACAATGCCTAAGTTTTATTGGTCTTGTTCTCTACTGTTTTGTCCAACTTTATAATATCTAATGAGATAGACAATTCTTTTTAAGGAAACAAGGGACAACGTTGATAACCATTGTTGATAAACTTGTACTCTGTTCTACACCATGTGCTATGTCTATCCTTGGTATTGACTGACAGCTTTGTTTTGCCATATTTGACTGTATTCTTCCCCCCCCCCAAAAAAAGTAATAAGCACTAAGGAGTAATAAAATCCAAAATGTGTAAATTTTGTTGTAAAAAAGAGAGGGGAAAAAAAAAAAAGAAAAAGAAAAAGAGCTCTAACGGATATAACAGCAAGTGTGTTTAGGGGTGTTAAATAGCTGACTATATCAATGTTTTTGGATCATTGAACACAGCTGTTTGCAGTCTCCCTGTTTGAATGTCCACCTTGTATTCTTTGATACTGTGATTTGAGGAACTATTTTCAAGATGATAATATGTAATCTACTAACAGGTGATTTCTTACTGGGTTTTTTTTTGTTGTTTTTTTTTTTTGTTTTTGTAGTTCTGTATTACGTGTACCCTTACACCGCTTTGGTTTGTTTTGTGTTTTTCTCTTTTTCCTCTTAAAAAAAAAAAAAGAACATATTTTCCTTTTAATCTTAGCTGTTTCCATGTCTTGATTATCACTATCATAATAACTCACAAATCTCTGACTCAGCTCTGAGTTTTATGACACTAATTTATTTAACAAACCAACCTGGCTGAGAGATTATGCAGAGGATGGCCCTCTGAAACGTCTGTGTTTTACTGAAAGGGCAACTTCCTGGTGATGGCTGAGGTATTTGTTGATGTGGAAGAAGGGAGTCATTGCCAAAGTCAGCAATCCAGATGAAAAGGGTACAAAGACCTTGAGACCATACTCTGAAGTGAAATAAATCGAACACAAGTGTAAATACCACATTGTTTCTCTGGTGTGAGGAATCAAAAGTGTAAATAAGGATTAAACTGTATAACAGATACTGGGAAATGCGGGGAAAATGTTCAAAGAAGAAGGGGAACAAGAAAGGGGCATAAGGAAAGAATGGAAAGGATAGAAAAAGAATAGAAGGAAAAAATGGAAATAAAACTTTTAAATAAGGAGAAGAAGGGAAGGGCAAAGGGAAAGAAAGAAGAAGCAAGATATATCAAGTACAGGCACAAATTCACTGTGATGAGTGTTAGCATTAAGTATATCTAAAATGTCCCGAAAGATAAATTTAATAAAAGGCATACCTGACACCAGGTCACACAAATGGTACCTAAACAACCTGTTCTGCAACCAGATTAAAAGCAAATAAATGCATAGGGTGTGAAGAGACCTCTAGAAGGGAGCCAGTATTTCATTCTAAACTGGTAGAATGCTATTCCAACTTGTCATCCTTTCTTGGGACCAGATTTTAGGAAAGGGAGAGATGGATGCTAAAATGGATGCTAGCACAAAGAAAACTACTCCAGGTTCTAAAACGCCAACAGCCCCAGGACCTCTGCAGAGCAAAGCACATCCTGTTAGATGATTTACTGTATCTTATCCACTGAGTGTTTCACTTTTTCAGTATAGAAACATTCAATAAAGCCTTATTTAAACGTTTGTGTTGCTTTAGCAACAAGTATGAACAACCAGGCTTAGCCCAATATGCTAAATACAAAAGCAGAACAGGGATACACATACACAAATTTTCTGTAACTCCTTTTTAAAAAGATAACTGCATAATGAGGTAATTTCAAATGTATGTTCATGAATACAAAATGTAATGAGATGCAAATTTTCACAATAATAGCATAAAGGGGAGTATAGAGCTATACAGACGTAACATTTTTTTAAAACAGGCTGAATACAAATTAAATTGTTATAAATCAGCAAATGAGGAAATAAAATCATCCGTAAATATAATTGAATTAAACATCCCAATTAAATGGCAAAGATTGGAAAAATGGGGAAAAAAGGACCCAATTATGTGCCTCTTAGAAGACACAAGCTTAAAGACATACACACGTTCTGTTCAAACAATAACCAAAAGACAGAGCTGCTGAAGTAATATCAGACAAAACAGACTTGAAGACAAGCCCTGCCACTAGAAACAAATGAAGACATTACATAAAACATCTGAAAAAAAAAAATTTTTTTTTTTTTTGACGCACGGTCTCATTGTGTAGTTCAGGCTGGCTTTGAACTCAGTGATCCTCCTGCCTCAGCCTCCCAAGTGTTACAGGCATAAACCACCACAATCGCCACTTCAATCTTTAAGAACAATTGTGGCCAGGTATTCCCATATCTATAATTCCAGCTCTTAGGAGGCGGAAGCAAGAGGATCACCAGGCCAGCCTGAATTATACAGTGAGACCTTGTCTTTGGAAAAAAAAAGGAGGGGGGTCCAGAATTTAGCTCAGTGGCTCAAGTGCCTGCCTGGTAAGTGTGAGGTCATGAGTTCAGATCTCTGGTACCAAAAAAAGTAATATTTGTAAACACATTTTAGCTACCAGAGCCATAAGATACAAGTAAAAGCACATAAGGAAATATAATACAATTAAAGGGAAACAGACCATAGTTGGAGGTTTGAATGATGCTCTCACTTTTTTTTGTTCTCAAATTTCAATAACTCAAAGAACTAGACAGCAGATTAGCAAGAAAATAACAAACATTATAATCCAGCTAGAGCTATAATTCAACTAGTGCTAACATATCCACAGAATATACCACCCAACAATAGCAGAAGTCACATTCTTTTCAAATATATACATGTGATATTATTCAGGAAAAAACCATTTGTTAAACTGTAAAACAAGTTGCAAAGTTTGAAAGCTGAAATTACCCAAAGTATCTGTCCTGACCATAATGAATTAAAACTAGAAACCAGTAACAAAAGGGAATTTGGAAAAGTCACAAATATGTGAAAATGAATAATAAATAACCAGTAGACCAAAGTAGAAATCACAAATTAAATCAGAAAATATTAAAGAATGGAAACAAAAATGCAACACATTGATACTTACAGGATACAGTCACAGCAATGCCTAAAGGAAGTTCATAGCAGTAAAGTCTATATTTTTTTAAAAATGGTCTC